GAAGGAAGGAAATAACAAAAATCAGAGCACAGATAAACGACATAGAGACCAAAAAAACAATACATAAGATCAACAAAACCAAGAGCTGGTTTTTTGAAAGAATAAACAAGATAGATGAACCTCTAGCCAGGCTAACCAAGAAACAAAGAGAGAGGACCCAAATAAACAAAATCAGAAATGAAAGAGGTGAAATAACAACAGACCCCACCGAAATACAACAGATTGTTACAAAATACTACGAACAACTCTATTCCAACAAACTGAACAACCTGGACGAAATGGACATATTCCTAGAAAAATACAACCTTCCAAAACTCAATCAGGAAGAATCTAAAAATCTCAATAGACCAGTGACTTGGGAAGAAATTGAAACAGTCATCAAAAAGCTTACAGCAAACAAAAGCCCAGGGCCTGATGGCTTCACAGGAGAGTTTTACCAAACATTCAAGGAAGAACTAAAACCTTTCCTCCTCAGACTATTCCAAAAAATCCAAGAGGAAGGAACACTTCCAAACTCCTTCTATGAAGCCAGCATCACCCTAATACCAAAACCAGATAAAGACAACTCAATGAAAGAGAATTACAGGCCAATATCCCTCATGAACATAGATGCCAAAATCCTCAAAAAAATTCTAGCAAATAGACTCCAGATGAACATCACAAAGATCATACACCATGACCAAGTAGGATTTATTCCAGGAATGCAAGGATGGTACAATATCCGCAAATCAATAAACGTGATACATCACATAAACAAACTGAAAGATAAAAATCATATAGTCATATCAATAGATGCAGAAAAAGCATTTGATAAAATCCAACACCCTTTCCTGATAAAAACTCTCAACAAGGTGGGAGTACAAGGATCATACCTCAACATAATAAAAGCTATATATAATAAACCCACAGCCAACATTATACTCAATGGGCAAAAACTAAAACCATTCCCTCTAAGAACAGGAACAAGACAGGGATGCCCACTCTCGCCACTCCTGTTTGACATAGTACTGGAAGTACTAGCCATTGCAATTAGACAAGAGGAGGAAATAAAAGGCATCCAAATTGGAAAAGAAGTAGTAAAGTTATCCTTATTTGCAGATGATATGATATTATACATAAAAAACCCAAAAGACTCCATTAAAAAACTAATTGACTTAATAAATGAATTTGGCAATGTAGCAGGATACAAAATTAATGCCAAGAAATCCACGGCATTTCTATACACCAACAGCGAAACTATAGAAACAGAGATTAAAAAAGCAATTCCATTTACCATCGCACCAAAAAAATTAAGATACCTAGGAATAAATTTAACTAAGGAAGTAAAGGACCTATATGCAGAAAACTACATGACACTGAAAAAAGAGATAGAGGAAGATGTAAAGAGATGGAAGAATATACCATGTTCATGGATCGGTAGAATCAACATCATCAAAATGTCCATACTTCCTAAAGCAATCTATAGGTTCAATGCACTCCCCATTAAAATACCAACGGCATATTTCACCGACCTAGAAAGAACTCTCCAAAAGTTCATTTGGAACAATAAAAGACCCCGAATAGCCACAGCAATCCTGAGAAAGAAGGGTAAAGTAGGAGGGATCTCAATACCAGACTTCAAACTGTATTACAAAGCCACTGTTCTCAAAACAGCCTGGTACTGGCACAAAAACAGACATATAGATCAATGGAATAGAATCGAGAACCCAGATATCAACCCAAACCACTATGCTCAATTAATATTTGACAAAGGAGGCACGAATATACAATGGAGTCAAGACAGTTTCTTCAATAAATGGTGTTGGGAAAATTGGGCAGACACATGCAAAAGAATGAAACTAGATCACCAACTTACACCATACACAAAAATAAACTCAAAATGGATACAGGACTTAAACATCAGACGGGAAACCATAAAAATACTAGAAGCATCCGCAGGCAGCAAAATCTCAGACGTATGCCAAAAGAACTTCTTCACTGATACTGCCCCTAGGGCAATGGAAGCTAAAGAGAAAATAAACAAATGGGACTACATCAAAATAAAAAGTTTTTTTACAGCAAAAGAAACCATCAACAAAACAACAAGAAAGCCCACAGAATGGGAGAATATATTTGCAAATAATACCACGGATAAAGGTTTAATCTCCAACATCTACAGACAGCTAATACAACTAAATAAAAGGAAGATGAATGATCCAATTAAAAAATGGGCAATGGACCTAAATAGAATATTTACAAAAGAAGACAGAAAGAAGGCCAAAAGGCACATGAAAACATGCTCAAAGTCACTAATTATCTGAGAGATGCAAATCAAAACAACAATGCGGTACCATCTCACACCTGTCAGAATGGCCAACATCAACAAATCAACAAACGACAAATGTTGGCGAGGTTGCGGAGAAAAAGGAACCCTCGTGCACTGCTGGTGGGAATGCAGACTGGTGCAACCACTGTGGAGAACAGTGTGGAGTTTCCTCAAAAAACTGAGAATGGAACTCCCTTTTGACCCAGTAATCCCACTTCTAGGAATATATCCCAAGAAACTAGAAACACCAATCAGAAAGGATATATGCACCCCTATGTTCATAGCAGCACAATCTACAATAGCCAGAATCTGGAAACAGCCTAGGTGCCCGTCAGCTGATGATTGGATCCAAAAACTTTGGTACATCTACACAATGGAATACTATGCTGCCATAAAAAAGAAGGAATTCTCATCATTTGCAGCAACCTGGATGGAATTGGAGAACATCATGCTGAGTGAAATAAGCCAATCAATGAAAGAGAAACACCACATGACCCCACTCATTTGTGGATAATAAAGATCATTATAAACTGATGAACCAAAAGATAGATATAGAGACAGTAAAGCAACAAGCAGATTGTCAAATTACAACGGGGAGTGGAGGAGGGTCTGGGGGAGACAATAAATCAACCCAAGGACTTGTATACATGCATATAAGTACAACCAATGGACATAAAACTCTGGGGAGGGAGGGGATACGTGGGAGGGAAGGAGGGGGGCAAAAAAAAAAAATCAATAAAATATGTAAAATAAAAAAAAATAAATAAAAAAAAAAAATAAAAAAAAATAAAAAAAGAAAGAAACAACCAGTCCTGACTGGATTGGCTCAGTGGATAGAGCATTGGCCTGCAGCCTTGAGAGATCCCAGGTTTGATTCTGGTCAAGGGCATGTACCTTGGTTGAGGGCATATCCCCAGTGGGGGAGTGCGGGGGGGGGGGGGGAGTGTGTGTGCAGGAGGCAGCTGTCGATGTTTTTCTCTCATCAGTGTTTAACTCTCTATCCCTCTCTCTTCCTTTCTGTAAAAAAATCAATAAAATATTAAAAAAAAAAAATAATTCTCTTTGAAATGTGGTAACAGTAAAGCATCGAGAAAGCAATGCTTTTGCTTAATTTTGTCAGCAAGTAAGAAAGCAGACAGAGTTGAACACTTCTGCTTAGCTTCAGTCCTAACGAGGCAATGTGTAGGGGGCGCGGACAGAGAGGACGCCTGTGCGACCGTTTAAATCCGGTTGCTGTTGGTGACAGTTCTTGAAGGCAGTGACTGTCTCTTACTTGTCTCTGTCTCTCTAGTTAAACAGCACTGGGCCTGCTTTGCAATAAGAACAAAAATGTTTTTTTGAGAATGTCTTTAATTTCTAAGTTTTACTAACGATAAACATTTTGTTTAGTGAAGCAAAAGCTTTGTCAGAAATGTCATTAAGAGGAAGGAAGGATATAGAAAGCATAAGAATCTTTTTGAACACATCTGATAAGAGATGTAGTATAGAAACATCATAAATACTTAGCAAAATAATGTCAAATACAGGAACAAAACATACAAATAGTTCTGAGCAGAGAGACAGAGAAAGGAGAGTTGGACTGAGATGAAAGGGGGTAGGGAAGGGCCTTATATGCTCAGGGCATATAAGCGGGTAAGTAGAATTGTACTGTCCACAACATTCTTAAAATACTGAGAGAGAAAAGGCTCTGAAGACATGGGAAGCTTAAAAAGTGCCCACCCCTGTTTTCCTGGCCGGCTGGATGACACAAAGAAGCATGGCCCTAACGAACGAAGCCAGAGCGAACTGTTTCAAAACTGAATCTGGATAAAGTAGCAAAGAGAAGAGCTTTACAAAATTCATTTGGAATTTCCTTGGTGTGACTAAGCCTGTTCGCCAGTTTTCCTCAAATTTGTTATAGCTGAGTAATACTAAATATTTTTAAAAATATTCATTAACTACCACTGGCTGGACGTCATCCCATGCATCAAAGGGTTGCCGGTTCAATTCCTGGTTGGGGGTTCAGTCCCCGGTTGGGGGCGGGAGGAGGCAGCTGATCAGTGTTCTACTCTCACATTGATATTCTCTCTCTCTCTCTCTCTCTCTCTCTCTCTCTCTCTCTCTCTGTCTCTCTGTCTCTCTGTCTCTCTGTCTCTCTCTCTCTCTTTCCCCCTTCCTTTCTCTCTAAAAAATAATAAAAATATTAAACCATATACTCATTAATTCAAGATTCTAGAGAAGACTAGGCACAAAACCAAACCACACAACCCTCCAAGGGAAAGCCTGGGCAAATGAATAGGTAGGCACATAATCAAAATGAGTAATTTTCCCTCGTATGGTACCCCCGTCCTCATCCCTTGGCCAAACAACTACCTGAAGGTTGTTTCTCTACTGTGATGGAGCAGGTCAACATATTCAAGCATTCCCCTGCTCTCTCAGCACATATCCTGGACCCGATCGACTAGATACGGATTTGGATACACTATTTCTAGCTTCTTCTGCCATATCCCTGCACTGTTTCCCTCGTGTTTTAACTTTTTTCAGGCCAAGTGAGTTCCTTACAACTGGGCAGATTTCCACTACCTTGCCACATAATCCAAAATCATTAACTTAACTTGAGAATTAACTGGGGGAAAATTTTTTTTTGAATGAACAGGAAAACGGGCTTAACTCAGCTTTTATATTAAGAATGACATAGGTTGATGTTCATGCTTACCTTAATTGACATGAATTTCTGCATTGGTTCAACCCATTCCAATAGAATAATGCTGGTCTGAAGCGCCCCGCATAGGTATTTATGGCCTGTGTACGGGTTTCTCACTGTGGAGGAGAGAAATACAGTTAAGTTCTCTTAGGATACAAAGTCCTTACAATAATAGTTACATGTTCCAAAAACAAACAAACAAAAGCTGGCTGCCAGTTCAATTCCTTAAACTACAGGATGCAAAAGAAACACTGCCTCAGGGAACAGCCTGAAGCTCCCTCCTCACTTGCACCATTTTTGTTTGCACAAAGGAGAATTTGCCGGTTGTTACGAGACCTGGGGGCCAGAAGACAGACTTAGGTCTTAAGGTAGCAGAAAGATTTGGGGAGAAGTTGCCAAATTGAGAGGCAATAGCATATTTAGGGACAAGTGACTCAGGGTGTTTTTAGTAGTAATGTTCAGAGGCAGTAATGCTTTGGTTAAAACAATACGATGACATAAATCACATCTCAAAAATTCTCAAAAATACAGATTTACAACAATAAAAATGAATTGCCTAAGAGTTTTTTAAGGGAAGAAAACTAATTTTTTTTTTCTTTTCCTATATGCAAATAAAACAGCTAGTTGTTACAGGATGAGTGAGGAATTTCGGATAGAGGTATGTAAATAGGGAAATCTAACCTTTACAGCATAAAGTTTCACACATTAAAGGTATTTAAATACATGCGCACTGACTCTATTCAGTCTCATAAGCCATTTCAAAGCACAATGGTAAATGGTAAATAATAGGTACTTTGAAAAATAGGGTGTCATGAAATGCTGTAATTAAAAGTAATCCTACTTTCTCCACTTATCCAGTCAATAAATTATTTGCAAAACAACTGTTTTGTGCAAGGTGGTATATTAGGCTCAGTTTACATGAAGACAGAATTAAGACGTTTGTTAGTGGGGGGCAGGGGCGGGGAGAAGACCCTATTGCTGGCAGAGGGCCCCGGAGACTTTTACACTCGGTTTAAAAATAAGCCCCTTCGTGCTTTCTTGTCCACTTTGTGAGGCAGAGGAACCACATATGATCGGACAGTTCACTTACCAACACAGCACTTCTGACACCACTTGGTTTCAGGGATTTTTGCTGATACAGCAAATTTCCTAAATGTAAATGAAAATGGGTATGTAATATATGTAGGTAAAGTGAGTATACGGTAATGAAACTGTTATAATCAGTGGAGAAGAAATTAGTTTTTCCCAAACTGGTGCTGACATCATATTAAAACCAGAGGCCCGGTGCACCGATTCATGTCCCAGGGGGGTCCCTCGGCCTGGCCTGTGCTCTCTCGCAATCAGGGGCCCTCGGGATGTCGGGCTGCCGGTTTTGGCCTGATCCCCGCAGGCCAGGCAGAGGGACCCCCCTGGGGCATGGGGCCGGGCACGGGGCCTCTAGTATTCATGTAAGATCTTTGATTAATCTCCTCCTGCCCTCTCCCCTCCCCTCTGAGATTCATCAGTCTGTTCCATGTTTCCAGGCCTGTGCATGGAGCACCTGCCCCCTGGTGGTCAGTGTGTATCATAGCTACCAGTTGAGTGGTTGCTTAGGCGTTTATATTTATAGATAAGAGTAAATTGGGTCCCTTTCTCAATACCCCCTGTTAATCAATTCTAAATGGATTAAAGTTTAATATGAAAAACAAAACTATCAAGTATTTACATTGTAGAAGAAGATAACCTCGGGATTTCATTAAAAAAATGCAAAGAGGACAAATCATACAGATAATCTTTAATTGACATTTTTCACAGAGGCATCTCAAGCTACAGGTGGCATTCAATTTGGTGAATGACTTGTTGAATACATTAAGAACTCTGGTTCTCAAAAAGTTACCACTGAGAAAGTGAAAAGATCAGTCACAAAGTGGGAAATGATCTTTTTAGTACATATAATAAATTTAGGCTATGTAAAAATTTGTGTTATCACTAAAACAATTTATAAGAATTTTTTATTTAGACATTTTTATTTCTTTACTCAGAAAAAGTAGGATGTAGAATTTCTGCAAAGTACTTTAGGAGACTTGCAAACATTAAAATTTACTGTGTAAAAATCCATTTAAAATTATATTTTTAAACTACAATTTAAAAAAATCAATCAAATAAAAGGTAATACAATAAAACGGCTATATTTTTTTATAATATAAAGTTAATATAATAAATTATAATATAAAAGTTAATATAATATAAAGTTAATATAAGTGGTGCAATCCTCAAATTATACTCCTCCATGTCTGTACACATATTAAACTTTTAAATGTGTAAATGTGTCAGATTAGAGGTCATTACTCTGCATTATTTTATTTTATTTTTTAAATCAGAGTTGTGTTTTGCTGATAATAAAGTCATACTGGGAAGAATTTTACATTTATCAAGGAATCCAATTTGTGATTGATAAATTATTTAAAAAAATGCCTTTTTTATACATGCTGGAGTTTCATACAGTTGAGAGCAAAACAAAAATTCCCCACATCCTTAAGCAAACTGCTTGAACCAAAGTCCTTTTGAGAGTTTTTAAAAATCTGAACCAAGCTCCAGATAGATTCCAGGGGTATCATAATCTTCCTGGTTCACACCTGTGAATCCCCCTCTCCCCCCCAAGGTTAACTCAGGGGTTAGGTTACTGAATCAGTCAAAACCCAGGAGGATTAACTGACTGCCAGAATCTGAAAAACCATAAAGAAGAACGCATGTGGAAATACATTACTTCTTATAATTTTTCATTAGACATAGTTTCTACTAACCCAAACTGAGTGCTTTTGCAACTTCTATAGTTTAACTACTTTAGTTAGAGTGACTTAACATGTTATGGTTAAGGATGAAAACAATTAGGTGTCCGGGTACCTTGGCAGTATTCTGTCAGGGAGTTTGTGTGCTGGAATAGAAACAGGCAACTTTTGCATTTGTCTTGCATAATCGAAAAGCCCTGGTAAATTATGGGAATAAAGCTGAGACGCTTTACCTGTAGAGAAAAAGAAACATAACGTAAAAGCTCATAATATAAATAGAAACAATTGTAAGGTACTTAAATACTAAAAGACTTACCAGATATTGATAGTAAGCAGTTGTTCATTACATACAACCATGTACACCTTCGGGGAAATAGCTGATAAAAAAAAAAGCACAAAGTTTACAAAGGACATTAGGTAACAGTAATGTAATATGTGCATATTAACCTAAGCTGTCATATCAATAGGTCAGTTTCAAAAAAAGAAACTTACTTTGAATAAAAATTCAATTTATAAAGCATTTAAAACAAGATGACATACATACATACACACACATATATATATATGGGAGGGAAAAAATAAATTAGCAGTGCAAAGTCTGAACATGCTATGATTAGCTTAAGTCTGGTTTATGATAAGGACTAGGTAATCCCAAACTCGTAGGAAAAGCACAGTTTCAAACAGTATCTGTGCCTTTATTTTGGTTCTAGGGTTAGACAGTTAAGGCTCTCTTGTGTACTTCCCCCAAACTGTTCCGCAGCCTTTTACTCATGGTCATTAATGGTCCATTTCAAATGTTTCTCCTCATCTTCTCCCCGGAGTTGCTAGTGACTTCTGCCTCTGTGGCCTCTACCTTGTGCTACAGCTCTTAGATTTAATAATCTAACTCTGAGGGGTATAGTTATTCGCTTATGTGTGTGTTTCCTCTATTAGATCATGAACTTCTTAAGGGTAAGGACTAATGCTGTGAATGTGTCTTCAGTACCTGGTAAACAGAACATGCTCTATGAAGGTTTTATCAATGAGAGGCAGCAAATCACAGACTTTAAATTATTTACCTAGTGTCTACTTATAATAACTTAAAAATTAATAATAAGAAAAAATACAGAATAACATACCTGTTCCATTGATGTTTCATGAAGTTCATTAAGATTCAAGGTATAAATCCCTTCTTCGGCACCGAATATCAAGTACTGATCTGAGATGACAAAAAGAATTCACTGATTTTGAGACATACCACTTTAAATTTATAGTCTAAAATTAAGAAAATATGAATTAGAAAAAAATAGCTATGATTTATAAAAATTACACATTTTTTTTATTTTAATGTGTATAAGTGGTGAGACACTCTAACTTGATGAACTGAATTATATGCAAATATTACTATCCTCAAAGCAGTGAAGAAACTTATATAAAAAACATTTTGAAGAGTGGCATGCTGGATTTCGCACTCATCGGAGGGGGCCAAGGACTGGCAGAGAATCTGCAGTTCCTTTTTAAAAATTCCTTAGGATCATGTGTAACTGAGAGAATGTAAATCAAGAACAGCTGATACAGATTCAAATTTTGTGCAAATGTACTATGACTATTATAAGCACTAATATAAAAAAAGAACTGACTTATTCCCATTTATGAAGTTCACTAAAACTTGGATACTTGTTAGAGTATTTGATATCTTCTAGAAAATACCAGAAATTTTGTCATGGTCCTGTTTGGTCTGTTTTTACAACATATACTTCTCCAGATTAAACAGAAGTACCGAGAACAGCTCAGAATGCGTGAGCACTCAAGCACTGCCCAGGGTTCAGGGTTAGTTCTGATATTTACAGCACAGGCTGTGGTCAGACAGCTGAGCTGGCTTCAAGCTGCAGCTCTGCCTCTGAATGGCTGGGACCCTCTGAGCGTCATTCTCTCTGCCTGTGAAATGAAAGAACCCATACCTTGGATTTTTAAGCTTTAGAGAGAATGTGTGTGTGTTTCTATGTATATCTTATATTATTAAGAGACATTATATATACAATCTTCAGTGCCTAATAATAGCTATTCTTATTATGACCCCTTTTAAGGTGAGAGATCCTCTAACGTGGTCACTAGATCCTGAATCTTCAGTAAATTCCTTTAGCAATGGCCATGTCTGAAGCACAGATATTGAATGATTGTGCTGCAGAAAGGAAGAAACTTTCCTGGCAGAAAATTAAGGTGGCACAGAGTGCATGGTTTTATTATATTGATATAGTGACTGCATGGCGAAAATTAAAAAAAAAAAAAAGACTTTCTATTGATTTTTAGAGAAAGAGAAGAAGGGAGAGGGAGATAGATAGATAGAGAGAGAAACATTGATGTGAGAGTGAGACACTGATTAGCTGCCTCCTGCACACTCCCTACCAGGGATTGAGCCCGGAACCTGGACATGTGCCTGACCAGGAATTGAACTGGTGACCTTGGATGTGTATGGGATGATGCCCAACTGAGTCAGGGATAGACGATAAAATTTTAATGTCATGTGTCACCTCAAGCACTAATAGCATAATAAAACATCTACCTTAAAATGTTTTTAACTGTAACAAAAATTTTCTCAGAAAAATCAGAAAATAAATTAAATCAAATGCTTTCATGGACTCAAGTTTAAAAAACAATTAGAAAGATAACAGATAAAAACATATAGCATTACCTCTGGTATCGGGGTTTATCCATGATGTTGCACAGTGAATTTTCAAGGGACAGCCATTAAAAACCTTTGAAAAACAAGCACCCATCTAGAAAAATGAAGAATAACCAAATTAAGACACCAAGCCATAGTCCTTGGCCTTACAATGGCACCTCAAAGGGTCCAGGCACAACAGTGAGTGTCAACTGACACAAGATTTTACTTAAAAGAGTTATTTTATTTTTCCTAGCTTCTCAAATAAATGAAGCAGTGATAGCAAGCAATTCTGACCAATAATTTATGTACAGAAATATTACTTACACATCAAGAGCAACATAATATTCCCTGGTAAATAGAAGTTCTACAAAGGTGAAAAATTTTCTTATTTTGGTTTTATAAGCCTAAAGTCAGTGAATTTAATATTACAAAGTAAAAAAGAGGTATGATTGACTTAAAAATTCATATATCAACTTCAATCTCAAAATATACAACTCACTTAAAAAAAGAATTGAGCAATCTAATGATTTTCCCTGGAAGGTTTCAACAGAAAAGCTTCATTCTTTGATGTTGATATTTATTTATTTATTTACTGAGGCCATTTACAAATCTTTCAGAAAGTTCATTTATAATGAAAATCAGTATCATTCATTTTAACTTTTTATCTTCAAAAAGTAAAACATTAATTTTCAGGTAAGAATAAATACAAATAAGAAAGCTTCCTCACTTAGTCACGTTTACTACCAACGACTTGTGAGAAAAAGAACATACAAACATTTGGTCAGAAGAGCACTGTGCTTCATTTCATATCAGTAATGTTTTCTTTACAAAAGTGGAGACAATCCAGAGTGGGGAAAAAAGGAGGCTTGTAGTTTGTATGCAATGTCATATAATAATTAATAAATAATCACACAGTAATAAACTCTTGTGTTTTGTGTAATCACAATGGTAAACCTACTTTTGCCCCACCCTCTACTCTAAGAAAACACATCACTAGTTGATTTTAATGGATTAAGAATATTAACATAAAATATATAAATCTTAAGATTTCCTTTATCCTCAAAAATGTACCAACCAATATTGTAAAGGTTTTTGTACCAAAAGGAGAATAACAGCCAGGCAATACCATGAGGTGGCAGTATACTGTTAAAAAATGTTTTTATGGTGATAGGGCACAGGTTATATCGCTTTACTAACAAATAATTAAATTACCCATCAATATAGCTTCCAAAAGTCATGTGTTAAAGTAATGCTAAATCCCCTAAAACTCCTCATGACAAAATGGGCTACAAAACAAAGGAGTCTCCACTGCAGGCTGAGTGGCCAGGTGGCCCTCTCTGGTGCTCCCTATTCATCAGCTCCTCCCCGTGAACGGCATACCTGACCTAGCAGTTTTATCTTGTAGCCAGATAGGAAATCTCATCCTTACTGAGCTCTTTAAATTCAAAGCTTCTTTTTATTTTGTAAAGTAAAATATAGTTATTTAGATCTTTATACTACCCTGTTTCCCCGAAAATAAGACAGTGTCTTATATTAATTTTTGCTCCCAAAGATGCGCTAGATCTTATTTTCAGGGGATGTCTTATTTTCGGGGAAACACGGTAATTAAAAAGTAAAGTTAAAAAGTGAAAAGGCTAAAAAGTTGGAAGGTTAAAAACCAGAAAAACTATGGACATCTAGTGCAGTTTTGGATTATAGCTTTGTAGAAGTGAAAATGTAGTTCTGTCTGTACTAACCTACAGCCACACTGAGTTAATATAATTTTAATCCTAGGAGAGCATGGTCTAATTCCCCCCACTCCCCACAGCTACAGCAGAATCCATTACAGCACGTCTAAGATCTAGTTGTTGGTCTCGTTAGAGTTTAGGTCTAATTAGAGTTAGGTGAAGTTTTGTGATCTGGAAGACTAAGACGTTTGGGTCTCAGCTTTACTTTATATCGATAATTCAAAGTTTTGATGATTGAAAACACAGAACAAGCGTTGTATCTGCACCCTGTACTTCCTATTATACCCACGTGCCTTTTTCACATTTCTTCAACAATGTCTTCAAGGAAGATGTTATAAAGTTTGAAATAAAGGAACTTTAAAATGTATAATTTTAAAAAAAATACTTTTCAGACGTAATAAATTAATATTAAAACTACCAATCTTATAGATTTTTTTCAACAATCATGAAGGTTCTTTCAAATAGGCAAATAATCTAACAATTTAACCAAAGGTACACATATAAGCAATTGCTTGTCACTGTATTGATTTTGAAAACTTTGTGTTTATACTTACATGCACTTTAGGTGTTGGGGGTAGACCGTTACTAATAGGCTTCTAGAAAAAGAACACATTCATGATTACACCTCTCTTGTTGCTGTTTGGTATAACAAACACACTTATTAGAATAAAATAGACAAATACATTCTTTTTTAAAACAAAAACACTGTAGATAAGGCTGAAGTTCCCTAAAAATCTCCCAATCCACTTATTCCTAGTACCTGCACCTCACAAAACCAATTTAGTGTCTATCCTTCCAAAACTTTCTCTAGTCAGTCATATGCACTCATGTATTTGTGTATTCTTCCAGACTTTCTGTATATATTCGTATCAATGCCCTCACAGAAAGAACTTTTTTTGTGTGTGTCTAAGAACGATAATAGTTATGCACTGATGTGCAACTTGTTCTTTGCCTTAATACTGACTGGTCTTGGACAGCATTTCATACCAGTACATTACCGTTTTCCCGAAAAAAAAGACAATGTTTTATATTAATTTTTTCTCCCAAAATTGCGCTAGGTCTTATTTTCAGGGGATGTCTTATCTTTCCATGCACTAGGTCTTACTTTCGGAGGATGTCTTATTTTCGGGGAAACATGGTAGATCTGGTGCATTTGTTTTAACTGCAGTATAGCACGGCTATGACATAATTTAGTTATTCCCTAATTGGTATTGAGTAATTAGGTTACTTTCAATTCATTACTGTAACAACAATATGGAAACGATCGCCCTGTGCACATCATTTTGTTTGTTTGTTTTTTAATCTTCACCTGAGGACTTTTTTCCCATTGATTTCCAGAGAGTGGAAGGAAGGGAGGAGAAGAGAAAGAAACATCAATGGAAGAGAGACACATAGATTGATTTCCTCCCACACTCGCCCCTAAGCAGTTGAGGTATGTATGTGTCCTTTGACCAGGAATTGAACCCATGACCCTTTGGTCCCCGGGCCGATGCTCTAACCACTAAGCAAACTGGCCAGAGCTGTGTGAGTATTTTTTTAGGGTATACTGTGAGAAATGAAACTACTGGAACATGGGATCTGTACCTTTTACATTTCAGAGGATACCAACTGCCAAACTGTCTTTCACAATGCCCACATCACACCAAATCCACCAGTAATACTGAGAGTCCGGGTTCCTTATAGTCTCACGGACACTTAACAACATTAACATTTGTTATCAAACTGTAAAAACTATTTTGTCATTCATGTGCCTGCCTCCGATTGCTAGAAGGGTTGAGAATCTTTCTAAAAAAATGTTTATTGGCTCTCTGTATTTGCTCTTCTGTACATTGTTTTACATATATTTTTTACTAAATTACATTTTTCTTATTTATTAGCTGGAGTTCTTGATATAATCTAGATTTAAATACTTTTTTGAATATATATTACAAATGTGTTCTCCTAGTCTGCAGATTATCTTCACTTTTTTTTTTTTACAATGTGTTTTATCAATTGAAGTTGTACATTTTGATTTATTCAAATATACTAACCATTGGCCAGCACATACTGATAATTACAAGAGCAAAAATAGCACATATGTTCACCTATAATATTCCCAAGAATACCAGACATTTTCCCAATGAGCTACATTCCTAGAGTATATGATTTGTCCCCTGGAGAAAGAATCTCTTTGGGAGAGAATACACTTTAAGTATAAATTGTATTAAAGTCTAGACTTCTTTCCAGGTTAACCTTAATAGCTTTTTAAGGAATGACTTGCATTTTTTTTCTCCAGCTGACATAAATCAGAAGAATTATTTAAATGATACAACAAAATTAACTAAAAAGCTGCTGACTTCATATTTTGTGATATGATACAAATAGTCTGTGTAGTGCCACTTATATAACTTTTAGACACTTCTGAAATTGACTATATACAATTTTACTTAGTAGATCTGTTTATGAGAATATACAGTCTGTTGCTGCCACAAATTTCTGATAATGTTTTTTCCATTTGGCAAATAATCTACTTATTTTTATATTTATGTTCCTAAATTACCTTCTATCATTTATTTCGTGAAACATTATTTTTAATTAGGGAGCTCTGAATGTTATAAATGTTCGATTTAAGTACTAACAGAGTTGGCTGTAAATAATTTCAATAAGCTGCACAAATGGAAATCTTGTTTCAATATAGCGTGGATACTGTTTATCCCATGATACAATCATGAATTTTTTATTTCAGAATTGCTAAGATTGTTAGTTTAACTAGGAGTTTCTTAAACTTCTTAAATAAGGTAACAAAAAAGCGAGTTAAAAATGCACATATACTACAATGTACACATCTTTCAAAGGACAGTATACTGTTGCAGAGTCATTAAGCGGCACTTCTGTACTACAGTAACAGGGCTGCTAAAATTTAAACTGGTGGAAGCAAAAAAGGCACTGCTCAGTTGAAAAGACTATTAATTCCATTTCTGATGGACACTTTACCCTTTTGTTAAAAATGTCATAAATTTCACAAATTACAAATGGACAACCCTAGTCAAATGCCTTAATTGAATTATTAAAAACGGTATGTCATATTCTATCGTGAATTCTTTAACAGTTAAACAGCTATAGTACAAAGCCTCAACACTGCTTACTGTGCAAAACCACAGCTATATGCACATAAACATATTAAAGGTACTATAAATTCCTATAAAATTAACAACAAATATTAGCATACACTAAGACTCAAAAATATTGTCTCATCTCATGATCATATTGGCATCTGCTGAATTGGGGATTTTAAGAATTTTTTGTTGTTTTAAGTTCTAAGACAACAGATTTGTCTTCTGATAACGAAGAGCAAATTCCTTATAAATGTTAAAAATTTTTAATCTCCCTGATAAATATTAGTTAACTAGAGAGGTCCAGACCGGCCTGCGTCCTCTTGTAGTCTGTGACCCTTTGGAGGATTGTTCACCTGCCGGCTTAGGCTCTGCTTCCAGGGGGGATCGGGCCTAAGCTGGCAATCAGACATCCCTCTGGCAGCCCAGGAGCCATCAGTTGGATATCCTTAGTGCTGCCAAGGAGGAGGGAGAGGCTCCTGGCCACAGCCTCTGCACTCGCAGCCATCAGCCCGGCTTGGTGCTGAGTGGAGCTCCCCCTGTGGGCGCGCACTGACCACCAGGGGGCAGTTCCTGCACTGAGCGTCTGCCCCCTGGTGGTCAGTGTGCATCATAGCGACTGGTCATTCTGCTGTTAGGGTCAATTTGCATTTTATCCTTTTATTATATAGGATTATATAGGATGGTTATGTCATGTGTTTTATCTTGCATTTATAACAATAGCTTCTACGGCTAATTTCATCTTTCCTCAAGGGATATCTACTAAAAAATAGTCTTAATTTTTCTTCCTTGTTAGCTATTCCGAGTAAGAGTAGTAATATCACAAACTGCATAATCTATAGTTAGAGAAGTTAATCCTAGGGTAGAAGCTATAGTTTTCCTTATCTGTCCATGTCCTTGTTTCCTAAACTTCCTGACATAATAAAAGGGACTTTTAAAGAACAATGAAAAAAAATAATAGTTATTTTCTGAACAATCACAAGAAGACTGTTTACTTGCATGCAGGCCTAAATAATTCAAATAAATTGGCTTAAATAATTCAAACAGAAAGCCATCATTTAAGTTTACTATAGAGTAAAGTTATTTTTTTTTTAAAGATTTAAATAATCCATATCATTACACTAAAATACCAATATAATTACAAAACATATAACTGCTGTAGCTCACTAATTATAATCGCAAACCTAACCCAATAGTGAAAACGAAAACCAATACAAGTAAACTTTATGAATATAAATACCTACTGGTACATCTTTCTTTTCTTTCCTTGAAAGGTTTGTTCCTCTATGTTCATTCTGTTGTTGATATAATGATCCATCTCGTTCACCATTTAACTGGAAGGAGCCCACTCCATTTCCTTCAATAAGATGTTGAAATATATTAAAAAGAGGATTAACTTTCACTCAGAAAATGTAAGAAAGAAAAACATCGCTGTGACAGTTTCAGTCTTCATTTGGGATCACCCAATTAAAATATTTAGCAATAATTTAAAAGAAGTCTTACATGTGTGCTATTCTCCTTATATTTTTACCAGAGGCCCGGTATACAAAATTCATGCATAGGTGGGGGGGGGGGGTCTCCTCAGTCCAGTCTGCACCCTCTCCAATCTGGGACCCCTCAGGGGATATCCAACTGACGGTTTAGGCCTGATCCCCAGGAATTGGGCCTAAATCGGCAGTCAGACATGCCTCTCACAATTTGGGACTGCTGACTCCTAACTGTTCACCTGCCTACCTGTCTGATCGTTCCTAACTGCCCCCTACCAGCCTGATGACTGCTAACTGCCTCTGCTCGCTGGTCTGATAGCCCCTAACTCCCCTCCCCATGCCGGCCTGGTCACCCCTAACTGCCCCCACCCCTGCTGGCCTGGTCGCCCCTAACTGCCCCCACCCACCCCTGCCGGCCTGGTCGCCCACATGGCCTGCTGTTCAGTTGTTTGGTCGTCCCTCACTAACCCCCTGACAGCCTGGTCACCTCATGCAGACTGCTGTTTGGTCATCTGTCTGGTTGTTTCAGTCAGACAGCCCTTGGCTTTTTATATATTAGGATTTCTTTCATATAGGCAGATTTATTTATTTGTTATTTTTTAATCCTCACTCAAGGATATTTTCCCACTGATTTTTAGTAAAAGTAGAAGCGAGAGGGAAAGACAGAGAGAAACACCAATGTGAGAAACACATTGGCTGGTTGCCTCCTGCAGGAGACCCAACCAGGGCCTAGGCGGGATGAGCCTGCAACCTTAAACATGTGCCCTTGACCTGAATCGAACCCGGAACCTTGGTCCACAGGCTGATGCTCTATCCGCTGAGCTAAACCGGCTAGGAGCATATGGGCAAATTTAAATTCAGGTTGTATCATATTTTCGTGTTAAGAAGACAAAAAAGAAACACTTTCAGGAAAGGAGCAATTTAGAGTATGTTATCAAAGAAATCTTCATTGCTCTCTCTCTCTCTTTTTTTTTTTTTTTACAACTTCTTTTGCATAATTCACAAGAAATATTACAGTATTAAAACAGCATCGTCTACCATTATTAATTTAAGACAAATACCCAGCAAATATTGACCATTATTTTTTTAAACAATTAAATGAATAAAACAAAGGAGTTAACCAAAATATCCTATTCTTTTACTAAAACAGAAGTACCTTATAATCAATACACATTTTCCTTGTTTGTTCAGAGTTTAAATTTCTTTTGTTGCCAAACTACAGATAAATGATGAAATGGACAAAAACAATTCTCCAAAAGAGGGAAGGCTAGATCGGAATGATTTAAGAAGGCTCACACAGTCTGAGATATGAAATCTCAGACTGGGCCACAGGTAACCCTGTCGTCATAAAACCGCTGTGAACCAGGAGGCAAAAGGCAGAAGCATCTCTGGAGCCACAGCCTCCCTTCTTCCCTCCTCAAAGGAATTTCAGATCATTTCTCAAGAGTCCCTCATTTTTTTCCATTCGGTATGAAGACCCGTTTCCCTCATTTCACCCTCCCTCCCCCCATTACCTAAGGCAACAGGCTTCTGTGGAGGTAATCTGGGAGGTGGTGGTCGAGGTGGGACTTGGGATGGTCTAGCTGGGCTCTCTGACATGGGACATCTCTTGATTGTTCCTTGATTATCCTCCTCAGTGGAATGACTTTCCTGGGGTATGAATATGGACTTAGGCTGAAATAATACAGAAAAGGAAGACGGATGGTTAAACATGAAATTATTCACGTTTTATTAAACATAAAACATATTAAACATTTTTCCTGAAGGAAATATTATTATATACCAGAGGCTTTTAAACTGTGTATGCTAGCAGAGTTTCAAGGTTATTCAACTATCTGATTCAGATGATCTCAATACAGATTTTAAAATTATACACTGACATGCTTTCTCAGGGGGGAAAAAAGAGACCGCTTTCTATTAATTCCTTACAAGCCTTCCCACTTACACTTGCCAAATAAAAATATTCTGGTCTTTCTTATCTCCAATTTAAATGAGTCTCTTTTTATTTTAAACATTCAGGCTATTCAGCTCCTTACAAGACTAATCTAAACTGTCTCTTTTAAATGACTCAATGTCTTTTATGTTAATGCTTAATCTTTTAGACTGGGGTAAAAGAAGGTATCAATTAAAATTTTATCATCATGGAGAACACTAATAAAAGATGCTGGAGAAACTTTCTATTCAGACAATTATGAAACCTCCACCAGCAGGAGGTTTGAAGACTTTATAAATTCTTATAAATATGTCCCTTATTAGGAATATTACTTAGCACTTACCCCTTTGAGATTTAGAACTTTATAGTTAAGCTAATACAATACTAAACAAGCAAGCACTGTATTATTTATCTGTGTGAATCAATTTTCTCAAAAGAAACGAAAACAAAATATAATAATATATTGGATGCCTAGAGTGATCAGACTCTAATTCTCATTTATAACTCATAATTTCAAACCTTATAAAACCAACAGCTCGCTTTATAAACAGTTCCCTCTATAATTAAAATTTGCTATGCATAAGCTTATAAAATAAATTTATATTAACTCCTTTTATCTAGAAAAAAACCCTCTTATCTGTTGGGATAATCTATTATTTTATGATGCTTTTGTTTGGCAAAAAGGATTTCATTGATAAGAAAATTAAAATTACTGATCTTTTAATTTAAAAGTATTTTCTAAATTTTAAATATCTGGATAAAACACTGTTCTTTACTCATTCTCAGAGGATCAGTTACTGGATTGTAGATTTTGAGGAACAAAATCTTATTTAAAAATGTAGGTTGCCCGGCAGGTGTAGCTCAGTGGTTGAGTGTTGACCTATGAACCAGGAGATCAAGGTTCGAGTCTCAGTCAGGGCACATGCCTGGGTTGCGAGCTCAATCCCCAATAGGGGGTGTGCGTGAGGCAGACAATCAATCTCTCATCATTGATGTGTCTATCTCTCTTTCTCCCTCTCTGAAATAAAAAATACATATACATATTTTAGAAAAAAAGTAAGTTTCCTAAACTAAGTGAAATACTACTAATTAATTAATATAATTATTTTCATGTACAAATTTCTAGAACTTATTTAGTATAAACAATAAGTGGCAAGTTGGATAATGAAAAAAGAGAAACAAAAACACAATTATCATGATTAATTAGTAACTTCTTCATGATGTTTCTTTGTAGGTCCCAAGTGAAAATAAGCTACAGAGTAAATATTAATACAGTATAAAATAATCACACACATACACAAATTCAAATTGAAAAATAAATCTGCCTACCTTTGGTGGCAAAGGAGGTGGAACTTTTGCTTTCATGGTTGAACTATAAAAATATAAAAGTTTAGAATTAGAACTCTTTATTTAATTAAAAAAATCATTACTAAACTATAATTAATTTTTCAAAGTTATGGAAAAAAAAGTTGTATAACAATTTCCTTTTTCCCCCCTAAAACTTGGCATTTGCTAAAATATTTTGTTAAATATTCAAATTATGCTGAATGGGTTATCATTCAGAAGTAACCGAGTAGATAAGCTTTCTTGATTTCAAATTCCATCCAGTAATTATAAGTGGGAAAGATAACTACAATTACAGTTTATATCAATCGAAAGGTAATTAACTTAATAGATGATAGAGCATAAATTCTCTGATGAGGAAATGAGACCCAGAGAGGTTAAGGGACCTGATCCATCCTGATCCATGGTCACAGAGTAGTGAAGTAGAAAGAAAAATCTACGCCTCCAGCGACTCAAGTGCGCTTGTCATTGATGTGTGTCTCTCTTTCTCCCCGCCCCCCCCCCCTTCCCCCTACTCTCTGAAACTATATATAAATTAGAGGCCTGGTGTACGGATTAGTGCACCAGTAGGGTCCGTTGGCCTGGCCTGGAGGATCGGGCTGAAACCAGCTCTCCAACATTCCATATTGTGAGGGTGGAGGCCAGGCCGAGGCACCCCACTGGCGCACAATCAGGGCTGGGGGAGGGATGCGGGAGGTTGGCCAGCCAGAGAGGGATGGCAGGAAGGCTCCAGGGCGTGTCCAGCCCATCTTGTTCAGTCCCAATCAACCTGACCCTAGCAGCAAGTTAACCTACCAGTTGGAGCATCTGCCCCCTGGTGGTCAGTGCACGTCATAGTGACTGGTTGACTGTCTACCCCCTGGTGGTCAGTGCACATCATAGCGAGCGGTTGAGCAGCCTTAGCATATCATTAGCATATTATGCTTTGATTGGTTGAATGGACAACTGGAAATAGCATATTATATAGGCTTTTATTATATAGGATTTTTTTAAAAAGCAAACCTGGTTATAAGTAGAAAAAAGAAGAGAGCTTGTGAGAAAGCTTCCATCTTCTTACAGAATCTATAATAATAAAAGTGTAATATGCAAATCGACCAAATGGCCAAACAGCGGAACGACCACCTGAACGACCACTAGACAGTGGCACCAGGCCAGCCAACAGGGGCCCAGCCATCGCCCCATGATTGCCCTGCAGAGGGAGGCCCAGGCCACTGGCCTGCAGGGCAATCGATCAAGCAGAAGGCTCCAAGATCTTCCCCAAAGCAGGAGGCTTGGGCCACCGGCTGGCGGGGCGATCCATCAGGGGACTCCATGATCATCCCAAGAGCAAGGCCCAGGCCACTGGGCAGTGGGATCTGGCGGGTGGGTGGGGCTTCCCTCCTTGGAGCACTATCAATGGCCCCAAAGGGAGAGGCCCAGGCTACCCTGCGGTGGTGCTGTGGCAGGTAGGCAATTCATTGTGGAGCCCCGGCCGGGTAGGCAGAGCCTCCCTCTTTAGGGCTCTGCGATCGATTGCCTCAAACTGAGAGGCCCATGCTAACCAGTGGCGCTGAGTGGGTGGGCAGGGCCTCCCACCGTGGGTGTGATCCATCGCAGAGCCTCAGCCAGGTAGGCGGGGCCTACATCTTTGGGGTCTTTGATCGCGGGGCTCCTGGACTGTGAGAGGGCGCAGGCCGGGCTGAGGGAACCTCCACAGAGTGCACGAATTTTGTGCACCAGGCCTCTAGTACATAAATAATCATCAACAGAATGTTGTTCAAGGCCACTCCGGTTGGGTCTTTAACGAAAATGTTACTGGAAACCGGAGGAAAGGTGATCTTTATTATAAAGAGTTGGGGAATTTGGCTGAATTATGTTCTGGAGTTTTGTGGAAGGTAAAAATTCAAAGTAATGAAATAAGACATTTAGCTGAGATTTCTATGCAAAGTGCTGAAGGAGTGGCTTGCTTATAATGAAATGAAAGAGATGAACTGAAGAAAAAAATGTCGAGGAAAGAAAAACTAGCACTTGAAATTTGAAAAATTCTCAGCCTATTCCTCTCCAGCCACAACAAGAGTGTGGCTGGAGTGTCACTCAATACGGAATGGACGGGATTTTACCAGCACAGACACTGGCAGCTTGACCGGAAGGGGATGGAGATGAGATAAATACAAAGGAAGGCTGGGAACTCCTTGGATTTTATAGAACAGGATGGACAGAGGTTTCTGATCGTGCATACTCTTTAAGAAGAGAGAAAAAATAATTGTGAAGGTGATTCATAGATCACTAGATTTAAACTGAATTGATTTATTCTGACTTCAGAGTTGACGCTGGAAAGAGCTAAGACTTTTAGAATGACTATATTTTGCATGTGTTAAGGACATAAATTTTGGGGAATGTGGGCCACAATAGTATGGACTGAATTGTGTCTCCTCAAAATTGAATGTTGAGGTCCTAACTCTGATGCGATTATTTCTGGAGATAGTAAGTAGTGCTTTTGGGAGGTAATGAAAGTTCATTGAGATCCTAAGAGTCAAGTCCTAATCGAATAGGATTAGTGGCTTTCTGAGAAGAGGGAGAGAGAGCTCTCTCTGCCTGTACACACTGAGGAAAGCCCACGTGAGGACATGGTGAGAAGGCAGCTGTCTGCAAGCCCAGAAGAGAGCTCTCACCGGAATTAAACTGGTCAGCCGCTTGAGCCTAAACTTCCCAGCCTCCAGAACTGTGAGAAATAAATTTTGCTTAAACCACCAGTCTATGGTATTTTATTAAGGATGATGGAGCAGAAAAAGGAACTGTGCTAGAACCCATAATACTGCATCACCAACGACATTAAAATTACTGTCAATATTAGGCTGTCAGACTTATGAAATCAGAGCACACGATACTTTCTCTTTTACTAGAAATCAAAACAGAACGTACTGTTTAGATTCATCATCATCCCCTTCATCATCTTCTAAATGTGCCACATGCCCTCTAAAGATAAAGAAGGATAGTTCCATCGTTACTAAGTGAACTTGACCAAAATAGCTTAAGAAGAAATTTCAGAAAACTGTAAGACGGAATTTTACTTCTACATCTTTACAGAGTTAAAACAACAGTAACCACAACAATGATCTTAAGGCCACATGTCAGAGAAGGGAACAAATAGAAGACTCATCTGTGACAAAGTATTTTAAGCTTAATTAAAAAGTAAATTACCATCTTGGCTGGAGTTGCTAAGTGGTTAGAGCGTAGGCCTGTGCCCTAGAGGGTCTCAGGGTTCAATTCCCGGTCAAGGGCATGAACCTGGGTTGCAGGTTCATGCCCTTGACCTCCAGTCAGAGTGCATGTGGGAGGCAACCAATTAATGTGTCTCTCACATACATGTTTCCCTCCCCCCCTCCCCCATCTCCTTCCCCTGCCCTTCCACTCTACTCTCTCTAAAAAAAAAAACCAACGGAAAGAATATCCTCACTCCTCAGGTGAGGATTAAAAAAACAAAACATAAAGTAAAATTACCGCTGATGTAATTCTTCTTCAACAGACTTCAGAAGACTCCTTGACAGAAAAAAAAGCAAGCAATGTGAATTAAGCAAGCAATAAGTATATATCTTCATCATTTTAACCTTATCCAAAAAATTACTTTTTTAATATTTACTAGAAATATGCTATGATTATCTCAATACCATAAAACATCAAGTTATATTTAATGAGCTACCTCTATTATCTGTTGCTAATGTCTTTATATATGTATTTTAAACGAACAAAATAAACCCTAATGTTTACTGAAAAATACCAATTCAAACAGAGCACAACCCACCACAAACTGTCACAATAGGACCGACAAAACAGTAATTGCAGGGTCATAGTCAGCAGCTTCCAGGATTCAAATTTACCCGGAATATTTACGTGACACTTGACATTACATTTTCTTTTTCTTAAAATAAGGAAGGTGACACACTTTAAAAAAAAACATCATGCTCTCAGGCAATCCTACAAAATGGTATTCAACATGTTGGCTCTGTCTGCAGAAGCATGCATGCATGTGATGTGAATACATGAATGTAGTAGCACTCTGCTTCCACAGGACACACTCACTTACCTGAATACCTGCTCTCCAGTGCTGGTCGGGCAAACACATTTACACTTTAGGGAGACTAAGCCTGTATCAGACCAGGTGTGAGGGTTTTACCATTAGGAGCAATTCATAAAACATGCCATTCAGGAGGGTGAGAGAGAACCCATGGCATTTCTGAAGACCCTTTACTTTTGTCCACTGCAAGCTCATGCAGCCTATCTCCTGTATTACACTCTCCAAGCATAAAATCTCAATAGCCTTCCCTTAAAACTAATGGAACAAAGAGAAATATGGCGACTAAGGCCAAAGTATTCGGTAGAAAATTTACTCTCTCAAAAGCTAGAAGGTAGTACCTTCTAATCCTTTTTCCTTCCTATATATATTGGGGGGAAACTGCCATTAGGATGATCAAAATGTAAAACCAGAGAAACTGAAAGCTGGTATAAGCAACTAATTTAATATATTTTAGCCATCAAATTTTAATGAGGCCAAGCTTAATGATCTAAATTTGAAAAACGACCAAGTTCTAAATCTGGATCCTACTTTGCAGATCAAGGCAGTGAGGCACTTCAGTCAATGTGTTACCTTCACCACAAAGCTCCTCCTGCCCACCTCCAGGAAGGCAGGCGCACCTCTGCCCCAAGGCAGAAACCGTGCCGGACTGTGAAGCAAAGACAGCGTGACGTCTGACTCGGCCACCAAAGGCTACAGGGCCTGCGATAAGTCACTCTGATTTCTATGCTTCAGTTTCCACAGCAGTAAAATGGGATTGTAACATACAGATGTCAAACGTTCATATAAATGAAGATATAATGCATTAATATGGGTAAAATGCTTAGAAGAGTAATTTAGGACATAGTAAGTATTCAATTAGTGTTTTCTTTATTATTACTGACTAAACAACATTTCTTTAAACCTGCAATTCTCAAAATGTGGTCTGGGGATCCTGGGAGTCTTAGTCTCCTGTTGACCTGTCTGCAAGGTCAACACTAATTTAATAATACTAAAGTATTTACTTTTTCACTCTTATTCTTTCATTGAAAATGGAACTTTAGTTTTCCAGACTCTCAAGAACACTTGAGGCCAGTGGGGTCCCTCCCAGCTGATCGGGGCCAGCCAGCCGGGGGGGGGGGGGGGGGGGGGGGAGTTTGACTGTGGTCTGTGCGTCGTAGCTATCAGTGGTCGTCTGATTGTAAAGTTTACTTAGGTTTACATATATATTATATATAGATGATATCACAACAGATGAGCAGCAGACATGAGAAACGAGCTGTCTTCTATTAAGCCAGACATTAAGGAGATATATATATATAAAAAAAAAATCAATGTATTTTTCTTACTAATATCATTTTATTTCAGAAAAAAGAGCATTCTTCATAAAAAATGTTTAGTTGACCTCAACAAAAAGTTTGTTGTATTACTCTGACCAATATAATACCTTCTTGCAATTATTTGTTACTTCTAACTCTCATGAGAGGAATCGAGTGGTATTAAAAAGGAAGTGCCAAAAAGGTGGCATGTGAATTGGTCCTAAATAATAACAATGTTATCTATGATAACATGTAATAGGAATAGTACTATTAGGATAAATATCTTTGAAAAGTTCTCTGTTTACATTTCTATTAATATAAATATTGACAGTTTTAGCCTACATTAACAAAAATCTCATTGGAGTCCCCGATAGTATTTTAAAACTGTAAAAGGATTCTGAGACTAAATTTTAAGAAGCGCTGCTTTAAACTATTTTACTAAATTATACGTAACATCTATACAGTGGGCTTTCAGAAGATGTGAAAAGAAAAACATTTTCTTTAGCATGTGACAATATTTTTTGAAGCATTTTTTCCCCCAGTAGTGAATATCAGAATTTGAGAATTAAGAGTAGAATTTAAATGTAGTTTATTTTTAGTTACCCTGTATAACTGAACTTATATGGCATTCCACTTTTCTAGGTTCTGTAAGAATAAGAGAAAAAAAGCTGTATAAGAGAACATGAAAATGTGGCTAATCTATGGCTATGGACCCATATATATATTTTATTCATTTACTCATAAATCTCCTACTATGTGTTAAGGTGTTTTTGTTAATCAAGTAAAGATGTCATTAAGTATTAATCATAAAGCTTTTTAGGCTTTATGAAAAAGAAAATAAAACATGGCTAAATTTGCTAAAATGTTAATTTACAGTAAATACTGTATCTGGAGAGCACTGGAGAAAAATGTAATGCTGATTTAGTCATCAAGACTGGGTACTATACAATAAACAATGTCACTATTCACTAGTCCACTCCATTATTCTATTATGGAATTTTTAGAAAGTAATGAGCAAAACAACACTGATACCCTCAAATACTAAATTACTAAATCAACCTAAAATGATTTAAAAATTTGAATAGGATTAAAAATGGAACTATATGCAATTATAGATTTAACTGATCATGTGAAGAAGATAATCTGGAAGTAAAAAGAACCACACAAAACTGCCAAAAATATTTGGCATATCTGAATTAACTAAGGAATTCATGCAGCTGACTACTCAAGTTTTTCAAAATTGTCTAACTGGTTCAAAATAATCTATAAAGTACTGCCCTGGTTATATTTGGAACCAAAACCACTCCCTGTTTCTTTAAAACCAAAAGAGCAGTTTTATTCACTTACGTCACTTGATTTTACAACCCCCAATTACTGAGTAAATATTACAAATAAGGGCAACTAGTAAGTACTTATTGAACCATAAATATGCCAAGTGTTTTACAATGACGTCCATTTCAGTCCAAAAGCAGGTACTATTATAATCTCCATTTTACTAGAGAAACTGAGGTAAATTTCTTAGTCTTCATGGCTTACAGAGAGAGACAATTCTGGCCTTTACTACTACTACATTCAATTGTGCCAGGAATTGTATAATTCAATTTACTCTTTTCACTACTATTTAGGTTTTTTCTAAAAGAGAATTTATCTTTAGAATTTTTATGCTTTATTAAAAAAATAAAAAATAATTTAGAATTTTCTTTAAAAATACTTTGTTGTTTTAAATGATCAGAAAAGTTGATCTCAATAATAATATAATTCAAAAGAAAAGAAAACCACTCAGTAAGTCAAAATATATAGGCATTTATTAAAAAAATAACAACTATCTTATATAGTTGCCTCACAGTCTGTAATACGTAGAAACCCAGAAATGAAAATCTGTCTGCCTGATCACCTATGGAGAAAGCAGGAAATCCTGTGAGTTTTAAAACACTGCCTAGTCACAAGGATAAAGCAGACATATTAGTACAATAAGAGAAGTGCTACATCCATGCTCATGTCACATGTATGTATATGTACCTGTACACGAAACACAGCCAAAGGTCAAACTTTTGGCCAACCTACCTTGCCAGTAATTCGTTATATAGAATACAGTTCCTTAAGCAGGGATCCAATTAATCAAAAAAAATGAAGGTTGGGCAAATTATTAATATTTTACCTAGCCAAAGTAACTATATATTATGAAAATGTCTAACAGATAAAAATCAGAAAATGGAAACTAAGGAATCTGGAAAATCATTTAGAGATGGACAAAATATATATATATATATATATATATATATATATATATATATATATATATTATATAAAATAATGTTTTTGGTTACTTTTGCAAGTATGCCATTTAAAAATATATTTTAAATGAATCCAAGAAAGGTAAATGAAATATCTTTCCAAATCATCCTGTCTCTTAAAATATATTGAAATTTACAAACAAGGGCCTTAAAACCAGTGGCCTCAAATTTAGACAAAATAACAAAATATAAATAAATTTTTCATTTGCTAACTCACTATGAGACAAACTTTCCTTTGTTGCCCAACAATAAATTAGGTCAAACTATAAATAGCAATTAGTTATTATTTAGATAGAATTTCATTTTTCTACCAGAAGAACTTCACATTTATTTTCCATTTTAGGAAATATAAATAAAGTTACTAATAATAATTTAATAAAAAACACTTCATAATACTTAAATGAAATTCAGTTTAAATAAAAACTAGGACATTTCTCTAGGTCAGTGGTCGGCAAACTCATTAGTCAACAGAGCCAAATATCAACAGTACAACGATTGAAATTTCTTTGGAAAGGCGAATTTTTTAAACTGAAACTCCTTCTAACACCACTTTTTCAAAATAGACTGGTATTTTGTGGAAGAGCCACACTAAAGGGGCCAAAGAGCCGCATGTGGCTCTTGAACTGTAGTTTGCTGATCACGGCTATTGGTTGTCATTGAAAGCCTTTTTTCTGTGTTGAAAAATATATTTAAATGATTCATTTATTTAAAGAAAGAGACATAATTTTGAACTATAATCACTAAATCTGAGCTACTTGTCTTTAGTTACCCTTTGTCAACTGTTTAACTTAAAATAAGGGCGTGTGTGTGTGTGTGTGTGTGTGTGTGTGTGTGTGTGTGTCTCAACTCTCTAATGCAACTGAAATTATATTTTGAAATTCTGTTTTGCTCTTATTATTAAAATATCTACATTGCTGGGAGATTTTGGCAACTTAAATAACATTTCCTTATAATATTAGCTTTTTTGGGGGGTGGGGAATCAAAACATTTTATTGAGGGCCTTTGGGGGAGGGTTGAAGAGATGAGAGGACAGTAAGAAAATCTACGGGGAACAGCAGAGTCTGGTCCCCATACCTCGCTAACTCGGGCCTATGAACAACTGAAATTGTTACACTCGATAAGCTGCCTTTTCACCACTGTGCTGTACCACCTGGATAGTGCGTGCTGGAGAGCAGGCCTTGAACAATTTGGGTTTATTTCTTGCACAAATACCTGTCAAGACTTTAGACACATTTTAATTACTGTTCACTTTTTAAAAGACTCTTACCAGCTAAAATATAAAGATTTCTAAACAGTGTGAATATTTTCCAGCTGTTTTCAGAGGCCAACACATCTAAGAGACATACCAAAGCAAGTTTTATAAGGAACAGATAAGTCTTTACAAATAAAAGAAGTAAATTGCTCAAACATATATTTACCCTCCTTTGGAATATACTTATCATTTTCTCTAGAGATCTACAAAGTAGCTTGATGTTAAAAAATTCAAGGTGATTGTCCCCATTATAACAATTATTGATTAAATGATTAGCAAAGTAGCAGTAAAACAAAGTTAAAAGTATTTTATGAAATATATCTACCAACTATTTTACTACTGTAATTATTTAGTATTATAATTATTAAAATATAATATTTTAAAGCAACTTAATTATTCCTGATTTAAATTTAAATTTTATAAGAATTTTACTTACTTGTTTGTACCTAAAAAGTAACTACCTTGGTGTCCTTGTCCATATTCCAGTTGTAGATCCTAACAGCATAAAACAAAATATTTAGTAAAACAGTAGTATCTTACAAATCACGATGCAATAATACACATTAGTTTTAAAAGAGAAACCCCAGACTTCAAATAAATCTGTATTGCTGTGTGTTCTTAAAAAGAAGGCATGGCAGCACTTCCAACCATAAAAGGTAAGTTCAATATTTTTCTGGGAACTCATTTAAATAATATATGCAAGTTTCATTTAAGGATATTGCTATTATAATTAACATTTGTAAAGTCAGCTTTTAGAAAGAAAAATTTCAAATAAAGTCTTTATTCTCAAGCTCCAGTGAAGCAAAAATGATTACAGGAGGGAACAAGTGAAAAAAATCTTGGTCTGTCTTTGTAAGAGCTGCAATAATTATGTCTATCAAACATTCACACATTGCTACAGCTGCTTTATACAAGTAATAGTAATTTTTTAAAGAAATAAAATAGGTTACTCTTTTAAAGTAAAAAAAATATATATGGATTTGCAAAAGATTATAAGTTGTATGTTAGGACTTTTAATATATTTTAAAGAGTTAAGGATAAGTAGCAAAACTTCAATATTATAAAGGCAGTTCATCAACTATTTAAATATTCTCACTAAATGCTGCATGTTGTAGAGTTGAGAATTGAAATTTAAAGGTACAAACAATAAATACTATATGTGCTTGACTCAAACACCTTTTTGAGACAAAAAGGAAAAGAAAAAAAAGATACTTTTCAACAATAATGGATAGCAGTTTCCTTTCTCCCTGCCTTCTTAAAGCCTCTGTATCTCAAGCACTATTTTAATAATAAAGGGGGAATATTTAACATTTCAAGTGAATTTTATTTTTACTTGAATATAGTATACTTAAGAGTGCTGTAAGCAGCCTTGCAAGACTGTCAAGTAAGATAGCTGCAACCTTCTCCAAGTCTCCAATGCATTTAACACATAGTTCTCCTCCAGCAATTTCTCTGCATTTTAATTAATTTATTTACAAGTCTATAAAAACAGTTGCCAGGCTGTGAGCTCCTCAAACAAGGAGAAACTGTTAAATCCATCTTTCTTTCCTACAGCCCAGGGACTAACATAACACCTGGCACATATTAACTAGGCCCTAAATAAATGCTTGTTCAGATGCTATTTGTTTATTTCCCTATAAATAGTCTAGAGGCCCAGTGCACGAAATTTGTGCACTGGGAGGGGGTCCCTCAGTCCAGCCTGCACCCTCTCAGTCCGGGAGCCCTTGGGGGATGTCTGGCTGCCAGCTTAGGCTCCCAAGGAGCAGGCCTAAGCTGGCAGTCGGACATCTTTAGTGCTGCTGCTGAGGTGGGAGAGGCTCCTGCCACTGCTGCAGCTGCACTTGCCATCCATGAGCTTGGCTTCTGGCTGAGCGGCGCTCCCCCTGTGGGAGCACACTGTCCACCAGGGGGCAGCTTCTACATTGAGTATCTGCTGCCTGGTGATCAGTTTGCGTCACTGTGACCAGTGGTTCCTCTGTTCAGTCGATTTACATATTAGCCTTTTATTATATAGGATAACTAACACTTCAGCCTCATCTATAATGATAAAAGTGCAATATATACTGTTTAGGCTGGATGTCTTTCCAGATGAAGTCAGGGCTGTGAGGGTTGAGCCCCTTGCACAAATTCGTGCATTGGGCCTCTAGTTAATATATACGTGAAAATAACTCTAGGTCACAATACTACTAAGCCTAGAATCCTCAGAGGGTCCTAAGCAATACATTACATTTAAATGGAAAGTACTTTAAGATGTATTACAAGACCTGTCAAAAAAAAAAATCTGATAAAAAAAAAAATCCAATTTTGTCTTTTTCAATATTTGTGTTCTTCAATGCATAATAATAAATATTCTTACTAGTGAGATAAAAGATAGTATATCTTAAACAAAAGAGATTACTCAACTGTCACACTGGTATCACATGAAATTCTAATGAAAAGAGATACCTATTCTCTAATTAATAATGATAGATCTTAATACAATAATGATAGATTTTAATAGAATAAAATCATGCAAATTGACCACCAGGAGACAGATACTCAATGAGACAGTCACATATAATTATGCTGAACAATTTAATTGGTCAAGACTCTATACAGAACTTTTAAATGTTGATAATAAGTAAAGAGAAGTACTATCTCAATGAATTCACTTTCCAATTCAAGTTTGTTTTCTTCTTCCTATGCTCTTTGTAGATAACTGGGCCCTCTACAAACCAGCAATATCTTTAGCCAATAATCTCTTAAACCTTTAATCAAATGACAGTTTCCCAAAGCATCAACTACTAAGTTGATGATAATGACTGGGGGAAAAACAGAGACCATCAGTGTATTCAGAAGGTAAGAGAAGAGTCTAAAAACAACTGACATCATTCAGGTTGTAGACAGATCCAAGTCTGGTGATTCATTGGGCCATGTGTGAAGCCCTCCCAGGAAAGCTCAGATTGAAAGGAGCTTGTTCTTTATAAATCCCTTCTCTGTAAATCAAATTCTGTTATGTTTTAGCAAACATGGAATATAAACACTGTACTGGTCATGTCATCAAGTTAAAAAATTATACTAAGTCCTTCTAATAATTATCTAATCCTCTTTAATTCAGCTATTATTTACCAAGCACCTATTATTAAATAGTAGGAATTCAGATGGTAAATCAGACAAGAAAAATGAAAGGAAATAGAAAGGAAAGAAAAAAAGTGAAACCTGGGCATAGTAATGATTTATGTTATCTTTAGGGCAGTCTAAGAAAAACTGATCTACAGTTTTAAAAGGACTTGAGGGCTATTCTGTAACAAATAATGCTACCAAAATTATTCTTGGAAAAGCACTCAAAATATACCCTAGATGAGTAAAACATGGGGTAAATAAGCTAAATAAGAATACATTTGAACATGCTAGGACAGACATAAAAATATTAGTTGCATAAATCAGGCATCAACTTATTAGTGAATGACAATAGCATAGTCAAGGTCAGTAAGTAACAACATGGACTGAAAACATGCAATAGCCTAGTACAGATTCAACCCACAAAAATTTAAGATAGTCTCACCAACTCAATTAAAATATCTTTCTGAGCCACAAAGTCCTAATTTCCGTGGTTCATTTTAATGAATGAGGATGTATTCCTAAACCTAGGATAAAGGCTCTAAGAAAATATGGTGCCAGAAAAAAAAAAGAAAAGAAAAAGGATAAAAGGATGTGATGAGAACACTGGGAAAAGAAAATATATGATAAAGAAGACATTATAGATTTTTTTATAACCCCCCCAAGGAGATTATAAAGTCTATCTACCTGATGAGAAAACAGCAGGAAGTTAATAGAATTGATACAGTTGGCTACAAAAACAGGAAGTACTTCACCAATTTATTTTACCCAGACAAAAGAACATAGCAGAAGAGGAAAACTTTTTTTTTTAACATAAAAAATGAGAGAACTGGAATAAATAAAATCGTTAGATACCTTTTAATGTGGTAGATAATTTACAGAAGTAAAAAGGGATCGAATCCTGGGTAATTAAAAAAGATATTTTTTTATTTTTTAAAAACTCAGAAAAGCAAGTGGAGTCAGAATACTGATCAAGCAGTCAGTATGCTGACTAATAAAAGCAGAAGACTTTTAAGGAAGCTCAAACTGAACAACATGACTTCTGTAAAACAAGCCTGGAAATGAACACTAGCAGGTTAGGTTTGACATTCTAGAGAATGTCCTACTATTGAGCAATTATGAAATGAGGTCCCTTAGAAACTGCCTTAAATATTAGATAAGAAAAGTGACCACACAACATATATTTTGTAATAAGTAACTAGAGGCCCGGCACACAAAATTTGTGCACTTGGGGGGTGTGGGGGGGGAAGTCCCCCAGCCTGACCTGTGCCCTCTCACAGTGCAGGAGCCCAAAGAGGTAGGCCCCACCCACCCATCTGGGGCTCCTAGATGGATAGTCCCAAAGAGGAAGGCCAGAGCCAGCACCCGCCTCCACGCCGCTCACTCAGCATCAAGTCCCGCCCACCTGTGTACGCCCACTGCGCATACAGCCTCCTGGTGATGGGTTGTGAAGGTGTGAAGGCATCACGGCATGAGGGCGTGATGACCACCTAAGCCAGTGGTCGGCGAACTCATCAGTCAACAGAGCCAAATATCAACAGTACGATTAAAATTTCTTTTGAGAGCTAAATTTTTTAAACTTAAACTTCTTATAATGCCACTTCTTCCACATAGACTCACTTAGGCGGTGGTATTTTGTGAAAGAGCCACACTCAAGGGGACGAGCCACATGTGGCTCGTGAGCCGCAATTTGCCTACCACTGACCTAGGCTATTAGTATAGATAGTTTAACAGATTTAAAATAAGTAAAGTTGGCATTTACTATTTCTTTTATAGAATAAATATAACTTTATAGACTTTAATTTTGACCTAATTCAGGAATAATTTCAAAATACTTTTATTATAATTATTGATAACAATCAATTGGTTATTATCTTCCTAACATATTTTTAATTTTAACTTACTAAATATTTTATTCCCTTAGGTAGAAGTTTCTTCAGAGTAATAATTATATGATTATTGATATTGCTCATAGCAACTAATATAGTGCTTCACATACAATTAACTTTAGATATATTTTTCACTATAATGGGCCAAAATATACAGTAAAATTAGGCAAAATTTAAAAAATTAGCATCAGCTGAACAGAAGTATTATATCTTTTAATTTAAAGACAGATCAGGTAAACACATTTGTATAGTTATGGGCAAAACTGTTACTATTTAATTATCACATTATAATGAGGTTTTTGTTTTTAACTTGGGCATGTTTTAAAATTTAAAGAACTTTTTTATTCACTAACAATCCTAAAAATTAAGCTCTGTTCTTCTGGTCCCATGTATTATAATTGCCTGATTAAAAAAAAATCATTTTATTATAGTAATGAAAATTGAGGTTTTACATTCAAATCTCATTTAAAAAAATCATCAAATAAATACACTTAGCATTTAAAACAACCAGAAAGCACCGATGACACCAGGCTTTTAGGCAGCAGGCTTTTTGTAAGGGAGTAAACGTTTTTTCTTGGGTCCTAAAGAACTTAGGGCTGAAATCTTGGTGGCCACTGCCCACTAAGACGACAGCCAAACGTTCTGGATTCATGTGGTTTTTAGGCGCCAGCAACAAGTATTTGTAAGGCATAAAATCTTGTCCTCAGGGACTGAACGAACTAAGGACAGGCCAAACCCATCAGGACGGCCATCACTTAACAAACAAAAACAAGCCTCCCTTTCTCCCGCCACACAAGACCAGTGGTGATGGAAGCAGAGAAATCGGAGCCCTTGTGCACTGCTGGTAGAGACTGTAAAATGATGCGGCTGCTATGGAAAACTGTATGGCTGTTCCCCAAATATATTAAATGTAGAATTATCATGCGATCTAACAAGTCCCAATCTATAATAGTTATATTCCTAGGAAAGCACAGATTTGACAGATATTTGTAATCCATGTTCACAGCAGTATTATTCACAGTAATCAAAGAATAAACAAAATGTGGTCTATATGAACAATAGAATATTCTTCAGTCTTAAAAGAGGAAATTCTGACAAATGCTACAACATGGATGAATCTTGAAGACGGGATGACATTTTGCTAAGTAAAGGGAGCCAGTCACAAAGGGACAAATGTACTGCGGTTCCAATGATATAAGGTAGCCGGGGTTCAGAGACAGAAGATAGAATGATGGTCGCCGTGGCCTCGGGGGAAGGGAGGGTGCGAGTTATTGTGTTAATGGGTCAGGGGCTGTAGTTTGGGGAGATGAAGATGTTTTGGAGACCAACAGTGGTCATGGTTGCAATACAGTGCCTCTATAGTGGCTTAGGTATGAATTACTGAGCCAGGCTGCTTAGGTCAAATCCCAGCTCTGCTATTCTTTAGCTAAGTGGTAAGACCGATTTCATCTTCTTTGCACCTTAAATTCTCTCATTTGTAAGACATAAGTTAATGTATTTAAAGTGTTTAGAATAATGTCTGGCATATAAAAACTTCTTAGCTAAGTGTTAGCTTTCATCGTCATTAGAAGTACATTTAAAGGTTGATTTTATAAATGTCAGAATCTGACAAATATTTCATTCACTCTCCTACTACAAGTTATCTGTCCCTAATGCCCTCCTTTGTCACAAGATCCCATCAACTGTTCCCTCGCTCATAAGAAATTTCTGAACAGAGCCATGATAACTTACTCAAGTTACTGGGCTAGTTCAGCACAGGTACAGAAAATAATATTGAAATTCTAAGTATTGTTTCTCGTGCTACAATTGTCTTACCTGGAGAATATTCATCTAAACTTTGGGTTCTGTAATCTTTTATTTCCACAACAAGTTCTGTCTTTCTAGCCTACTTATGTCCAGTTCTAGAGAAATTTTCAATCCAGAAATCATTGATAATGTGACTTGTTAGATCGCATGATAATTAAGAATTCCTTCTCATTTGCTTCCTTGGACGGTTAATTCTCAATCCTCACACTTTCTGGCCTCTCTGGGCCACCTGATGCATCTTTCTTTCTTTCGTGACGGGGCATCTGCTGACTCTTCCTGCTTTTCAACTGCATCTTCCCTGCCTCCAGTATTGGTTCCACCTCTGACTGCAAAACACAGACTTCCACCTACAGTGGTAAACAGTTTTTACCCTTTTCCTTTGTGTTGATGGAAGCAGAGAAATCGGGGAACACATGACATCTCATGGTTTCATCAATCATTTTCTCTTTGATTACTTCAGTCTCCCTCTTTTGAGCTAATCCCATAATTACAGCAGGAGTATGACCACTTCATAATTTCAGCTATCTGCCATCTCTCAAAACTGTGTCAATGATGGTCTCTACATTAATTCCCATGAATTATTACACAGGCGATACTTATATATCCACTTTCTTACTGAAGAACTTAGAATGGCTCCTACACAATACTGAAATCCAACTTAGTCCCTCCCAGAAGCCGAACAAACCACTTTAACCCAAAAGCTTTTCTTATTCTCTGATGTCTATTATACCAAGGATATGTTAGCCTCTCCTCATTGACAGTCACCACAAGTAGGTTTCTAAAATCTCTTTTATGTTCTACAAATATTAGAGGGCACAGATTTAAGAATTTATGTTAAGAATCATTTAAAGCAACCAGAATTGAAAAAGATATGTTACTGAAGCAGAGAGGAAGAAAAAAGATAAGGAAAATTTGACTGAAAAGGCAGAAAAGTGAAATCTAGAAGTATAAAGGCAACCTGGCCAGCTCCAGTAGAAAAGAACTATTTACTTAATAGCAACTATTAAAAGTATTATTTATTTAATATTCACCAGGGCTAATGTACCATTTTTTCTTCCCTAATGGTAAGATAGTCTTAACATTTATAACTTCAAGGGGGCTTTATAATCTAAATTGTGGCCTGAGAAAAAACGGATATTACATAATGCTACCTACCGAGCTGTAATTTCATCTAAGACTGTTTTCTTTGTTAATAAGGGGCAAGTTATTTCTTAAAATGATATACATACATAATATATGCAATATATGAATAATTGCATATATTATGAATGAATATGTACCTATATACAGGCAGTTCTCGGGTTACGTTGGACTCGACATATGTTGTTTTGTGGTAGGTATGTCACCATCTCCCATTTATTTATTAAAAAAAAGTTCTGTCATTTTGATGTATGTACACATGTGCTTTATGTTTTTTATTATTTATTTACCACAAGTAAAGGTCAGGAATTGTTGTCTTTTAAGTTTTTTTTTTTACTGTTTCACTTCATTGCTGCTATGCTGTGTGTCTGCTCCACGTGTGACGCAGGTGCTTATGGAGGTGGGTTCTGACTTGCAGTGAAAATCGCGTTCCATCCCGCCGTAGGAACGGATCACAGGTGTAACCTGAGCACCTACTGAATGTGGATGGGTCCTAGTTCATTAAAACTGGACATTTTTTACAGGGAAATGTAATTAAAACTCATACTTGAGTCAGAAAATGAAATGTTTTTCATAAAAAAGAAAAATATTTTTATTTTTTTATTGTAACATTATATATTTGAGTAAATGTATTTATTTAACTTGTTATGGAAAAAAATTGCTATAATCCTTAATATAGCAGGATCTTATAAAACAATGCTAAAACCGGTTCATTAAAATCTGACAAAATGCTTGATAAAAAAAATAAAACAAACAATTAAGACTAAAACAATGCTGACAAGAAAATCAGAAGATAAGAAATACCAGATTAGATCTTGCAGTGTAGTATATTTCTTCTGAACTGTCCAAAAAACCATCACTGTCGGGCTGTTTAGCAGAGACCAAGAAACCCAAGTTATTTACACTTACACTAAAAGCCACAAATTCACAAAGGGAAACTTTCTTAACTGAAGTAAGTCCTGCTAACATAATTTTGTTAAGGCAAATGCAAAATCAAATCATATTAAAAGGTTTCTAAAAAAGCAACGCTGCAACTAATTTGCTCTACAATGCAGTTCCTAAATTAGTGCAGAGCTTAAATACATGCAATGCCAACTTAAAGAGAGAAGGATTAAGTAAACTGCCTTAACAAAATACAATTAGCATTAATAAACATCATGACTACTTTTTCTTCTTAACCTTTTTCATCTTCTACATAAATGTCAGGCTGCAGTATTTAATATGGTCATTTTAAGAATTTTTCTTTAACATTCCTTTCTCCCATGCTGGTATATTGAATTAAAATAACTCCAGAAGTTCAAGGTTAAATACTCCCTCTGTGTGCCTTTAGTCAAGTGAGTTAACTTAAATGTAAGAAGGAAGTTCCCACTTCAACCCTTAGTACTTATTTTTTAAAAATTTTTAATTAAATTATTATCTCTGTACATATACCATTGGGCCCCCCTCCCCCAATATATGCCCTCCCTCCCCAGAGTTTTGTCCTTAGTACTTATTAACAGTTTCTTTTTTCTCGTTATTAAAAAGAAAGAAAAAAGTAACATAATCTGGAGCTCTGGTAAAGTAATTAGGATTAATTCTATTTATTTTTTAAGTCTCATGTTTTATTCTTCCACAGAATAGTAACATCTCAAATACTTGCAAAGCATTTTGCTTCTAAGATTATATCTAATCTACCATGTCCCTGGAAAGGAGTATAAAACATTAACAAAAAGAATCATGAAAAGAAAGTTCATACAGTTAGCAAGCCTTAAATGAATGACAAACTTGATCTACTCTGTATGCCTACTCTCTCCTGAGCTTCAGTACTCCAAACAGATGCAACTCAACTCTAATGTTTAAAAATACTGGCTCACACTCAAAAGACTGTCCAAACATTTAGTGAGAAGATGGGTTTTTATGGACCAAACATTTTAGTTTAATATTTATAGCATTTATGCTAATACATACATACACAAAAGCTACTCAAAATGAGAAACAAAAATGTTGATAAATTAAAGAGCCAGCATTAAAAACACTGATTTAGAGACTGGTAAAACTCGTTTTAAGTTTCTCCTAAGTAATTTTGAAAATATTCAATCTCAGCAACACAGATTTATTTATTCTGAATTTCAGAATGACTTACCTTTTTATTTCCCCAAATGCTTTAGAAAATATTAATAACTAGCTTTCTAAGTCAGTTCCAATATATTATAAAGACAAATTAAAACATTTACTTTTAGTGTTAACATTCCAAAACTACACTACTTACAAGTTCATGATGTGGTTCTGTCTCTTTCCTTAAGGGTGGATCAAATTTTACTTGGCCAACTAAAAAAGAAAAAGAGTAAAGCCATGATCTGTTTCTTTATTCTTAATGATACACTAATTTTAAAAGTTACTCCATGGCAAAACATATTTAATTTTATTATCTACCATACTTTAATCACAATCCAAAAATTTAAATAAAGAATATATTAGCCAGAAAAAGTCCAAGAAAGTCTAAGCAGTTAAAGCTTACTCTGTTAATAGGAGGTCTTTTTCAAAAGGAGGGCAATATCAGAAAAACTGGGGTATAAGTCTCGAGTTTCAAAGCCTCTGCAGTTAGGAACTGAGAACTCACTAACATAAATGAGTAAAAAATGATCCAGAAATAACTATACTTTGCAAAAAGGACCTGAAAATATAATTTTTAAATAGAATCAGGTAACAAGATAAAAAGTACTTTAAATTAGATTTTCAATAGTACTCAATACAATGTTTTCTCAATCAACTACAAAGACATCTCCAATCACCTTTTGTATTATAATTAAAGACATGACAAAGAAATCCTGCATTTAATTTTGTATATTAAAAAATAATATACTAAAGTTATATTATCGTATACTAAAGTTATCATTTCTAGACAAAATGCTTTGGGAGGCAATTAGAATATTTAAATCATGTGGCTTCACAGGAGCTTTAGGGTAATTTTATATGGTCACACACACTAATCATTGACAAAATGCCAAATCCCAGCCCTGTTTTTTTTCACAATGCATTGTGCTTTCTTTCAAGAGTTTCCTCCTTCTCAGAGCATTTCCAGACAGCTCCAGCACAAACGTTGCCTGAGAACTTAATATACAGTGCTTGGCCCAGCCGAATTTCCTAAGTGAGGTTCACAAAGGACTTTCAGTTTGTAGGCCACACCAGTGTTCTGAGGTGGTTTCTGAAATGGAGTGTAAAAGACCACTGGGCTGGAAGCTGAGATCTAGGACTTGCTGTTAACTTGGTGTATGACTCCGTCCCACAGGCAAATCTATTCATCTCTGCATTTCTTTTTTGTTTTAAAAAATGGTAATAGATCCTGAATCTACTTACCTCACTTAGCTTTTAAGATAAAGAGATGGATTCATCTTAATTAAAGGATAAAATGTATTATTGTTATTGTTACTAACCTAGCCAAAAAGTGGGAATAGTTTCTTAAAGGCAGTTTTCTGAAGTTACCACATTACTTGATTTCCCTAAGGTCATTCTGGAGTTCAGGTCCCTAAAGGATAATCTCAGCTCACAGAGAAGTGTTATCACAAGCCTGACTGCACTAAATTAGCATTCTAAATCATAGGGAATTGATGCTTCCAAGAAGAAAAAAAAAAAGTTCAGGCATAATTATTCCCGAGATTCCTATGGGCAGTTTATAATTGCTAAGTTGATGGTACTGGGTCCCATGAGGCTGGTCTACCCCTGGGAGCCCATAACTTGGCTGTCCATGAGAATTACATGGAGAGCTATTTTAAATGGTAGAATCTTGGGTTGACCCAAGACCTAGTGAGTCAGGATCTGTGGAAAAGTGGGACTTCTGAATCCATTTTTATTTTTTATTATTATTACTTTTTAGAATATATATTTTGATTGATTTCTAAGCGGAGGGGAGAGAGATAAAGAAACATCAATGATGAGAATCACTGCTTGGCTGCCTCCTATATGCCCAAACAATAACAACACACCTCCCCTGGCGCTGCCAAAAATTCCTTAGAAACAAGGAGAATAAAATCCTTACTGCCTTAAAAAAACTCTTACCTTTAAAAGGTTTAGTAAGAAAGAACTACTTGGAAGAAAATAAAGCAAAAGTATTGTAACAAAACTACAACTTGAGAGTTCTTCGATAATGTTAACTTGTGAACTGTGGAGAGCACACACTCACAGTTGATCTCGGAGCGTGTCTTTTCTTCTCTCACATTTCTACTTGTTGAGGGAATTCTATGTGGCACAACAACAAGAGGCTAGGAAACAACAAAATCAATGACATGTGGCATTAGATATCAAGTCACAATCTGGCCCACAAAATTAATCAAATATAAAACAAACACTTCATTTTATGTAAAAATGGGAATGAAATACAACCACTTTGTCAATATTAAAAAAAAAAAAAAAAAGGCAACCACAAAATGGAATTCTTTGGTCATCACTGAGATATAGTCTCAAGATTAGAAATATGTTTTATCTACAGTAGGTTCCCAGTAAATGTTCTCTGAGTTAAATATAAATATTAAAAAGCCAACATTTCAATAATTCAATAGCTCTCCAAATGCTGCAGCTGGTTTTCCCTGCTGCAGAGAAAAACTGTAATTAAAAAAAAAAAAAATCTGCCTCAACTTCTATTTCAAAAAGGATAAGATAAATGAAATGAAATAATGCTAAAAGCGTTAATGATTTATGGTCCTATTACTTACTAAACACAATTTTCTCTCTTTATGTTTTTTCTTATACGAGCAGCCCTCTATTTTCTTTCCTTTTTACTTTTAAAATCTTTCTATGTGATTGCCACTGTCAGAGAAATATTCTGGGGGATTGATAGGGTGAGGATGAGTTCTCCTGACTGTTAATTCACATCATTTCTTTTAAAGTCTGTCTGGTGGCCACTGAGTGAGGGACACTGCTATTCAGCTCACGCACAAACAGCAAAGTGTGAACTGTGTTGCCTCCTTGTCTCCCAGTGATAATACACTCGTGACATTTTTACAAAAATTGGTAACACAAAGCAGGAGTTGGCCAACAAAGATAAAAGTGCTGCAAAGAAAAAGTGCTAATTTTGGGTGGCATTGGAAATGAAATCTGAATAAATGGAGTTATGAAAGAAAATAGCTGACTGTGAGAATGTTGACATAACCACTGTTCAAGAAACTGCAGACAGTACAGCCACAGGAATTTAGTAAACTAAGTTCTTATTGACATGAATGAATCAAGTAGCTGTCCTAAGAAGGATGCAGATATCCCAGAAGAAGTGGAACCAGCCAAAACTTTATATCACAGAGATACTGAGATAGTTCATGCATCGAAAATGCAAAGGCTAAAAATGTTGGACCCATCCAACTTAGGAAGAAATGACATTCACCCAGGCACAGAAAAGATACTTGCTCTGTGTCATAAAGTTACATGAAAAAGGCCAGCTCTGTGCAATCTACTCAAGATTACTGGATAATTAAACATGTCTATAGATATCTGTTGTATATACTAGTTAGTAAAAACAGTTCCTACCTCAGGATCATCATCATCAAAATCATGGTAAGTGGAATGATCAGGATTATTCACTTTATCCAATAGTTCGATTGCCAAAGACCGTGTCAAAGGTTGTGTGACAAACGGGTGCTATACAAATCAAGTAACACAGTACAGAACACTTATTAGAAACTTGACTGAATGACATTTTACTTTTTGAAAACAAGACGTAGTCTGGGATAAAGGTAATACCTGTAATAACTTTTCAGCTGTTGGTCTTTTTTTAGGGTTTTTGGTAAGTGCCATTTTCACAAAATGATGAAAACTATTTGACCTAAGAAATTTTAAAATGAGAGTTTTAAATTTCAATTATTTTTTCCTCATGGCTATAAAAGTTAAGTAACACAAAGATACTCACCACTTCAATTTATCCTTTAGTTTAGGAGGCTGAAAGTTGCTTTTTGTCATTAGAAATAATGCTCTGAAAAATCAACAACAAGCCATTACACAGCATTTTAAGATTTAATATTAATCTATAATGTAAATCTATTACTCTTATTCACAAATAAGGTAAGGCAAGAGTAAGCATATTATTTGTTCATGAAATAATAATACTGGAGTGGAGAATCCCTTAATTAAAATATAGGATTCTTCAACTACGATGCACTGACCTCATTGGGTGTAAGTCAAACATGGGAGGCTGGAGCTCAGCAAGTTCGATGGCGGTGATCCCCACTGCCCAGAGGTCACAGAGCTGATTGTACCCCCCTTTCCTCTCAACGGCTGCGACTTCTGGAGCCATCCTGAAGAAAATATCCCAGAAAAGAAAACCTTTTGTTTACTGTATTTTCCTTCATATTCCCACCAGAGGCACATGGAGCCATCATCACTACCTTAGGTTGAGATATACATGCCTTGAAATCTGAAAAATAAGTATGCAGCATTTAAAAGGCCCATTTCTCCTCCGATCTCATCATCTCATAAGACCCTCCATCCCAAACTCCTACTGACCATTTGTTACTTTGTTATACTACTTCCTATTAAGGTTTGTAAAACTTTACAATTGTGACAGAACAACATATCCCAAATTTGTCCATACCCAAATCTCTCTTCTTCCGCACAGCAAAATTCCAGAGAAATAACATCTTGCAATATTCTACAATTTTTAGTTTTACCTCCTTACATACTTTATTGATGTCGTTTAATCAATAAACGACAATCTGGCCTCTGATTGTTTTCACTTGACCAAAACTATTTACTGGGGGACCAAAAATCTTCATTTAGCACTTAACGAAGTAATTCATATTTACTTGTCATTTTTTCCCAGTTTTATTATAATGATAGGAAAGTTATAAAAGTTTCTAGTTTAATAAATATATTTATCCACAGACTAGTTGTCTGAACTATTGTCTTTTGTTTCTTTTAATTTTCTTATAGTCTGATTCTAATTATATCTGTATAAATTTATATTTGACTAACTTAAATAATTACATTAATTTTCAAATATTAAAAATTTCAAACCCTAAACAACAGTTTTAAAAGTAACTGAGACAGACATCTCAACTCTGACATATCAAAATAGTGATTTAAATAAGTAGCCTTATATATGCACATTTGTCTTCCTGGTATTATTTCAGAAAGTTAAGTCAGTGAAGTTAGAAAAAAACAAACAAAAAACAAACAAAAAAAAATCACCCACTTTCAAACACTTGGTCTTAAAATCTTGTTAAAAGTATCTCTATGAATATTCAAATTATTATAAGAAAAGTGAACATTAAAGTATGTCAGTTATTACTTCATTGATGGTTACATTACAGCCAGCTGTTTCTTAGCCCCTAAGTCTCCCAGGAAGGCTGACAAATTAGGGTTATAAACTTATAAAAGTTGGGTTGAGGTTGGAAACATAGGAATTAGAAAATGTGGAGTCTAAATAATGACGCTAGTCTCCCAGATTCCTCCTTTCCGCCTTCAGGGCTCAGCAGTTGCTCCTTCCCCAATCCAACTGGATAAAGACCAAGAGAAATGAGAGGGAGGCCCCAGACCCAAAGGCAACAGAAACAAAGAGCAGGGGTCGGGGCAGCAGAAGTCTGTGTCTAGAGCAGCGGTGGGGAACGTCCAGCTCCATGGGCGGTATAACACCTGTGAAATCATTTGGTCTGGCCCTGCCATGGCATTAGGGGTGAGTTAATTAAATATTTGACCAAACAGACCAGGCAAATTTTAAAGTTGATAATTTCGGATGGCCTGTGAAGGATGTTATAAGTATCCAAATGGCCCCTGGCACAAAAAGGTTCTTCACCCTTGGTCTAGAACAACGAGTCTCCCAAGCCCCTCCCAGTTTCCTGCACTTGCTCAGTTCTCAGTAAACACCAGGCTTTCATGGCGCCTCCATGCACACAGAGCTATGAATAAGTTTTTAGAGCCTTGCTCTTCAATGTGCATCAGAAGATAAGGATTACAAGATAAGGAAGCCTCCATCATGAAAGTATGAAACTATCAAGTTGAGAAAAATCTTAGAGAAAGTAGAATAAAAAATAGAAAATTTAAAAAAGTTAATGGATTAGTCTAAGTGTCCAAGATATAACCAATGAGATCCAGAAAGAGAGAGCAGGATAAAGTATAACAAAGAAATTGTCAAAGAAGTAATACAAGAATATTTGCCAGAATTGAAAGACATGAATCTCTTGATTAAAAAGTACAACAAATAATGTTGTACAACAACGTTGTCTCTTGAAATGCCAAGTGTAACAATTAAAAGTAAAAATGACAGAAAACCTAAAACTTTCTGTGATACATCATCATGGAATATCAAACCACTAGAAATGATTCTAGGGGGAGGGGTTACATTCAAAGACCATGCATCATCATGGCATCACACTTCCATCAGCATGAGAGAAGGAGCCTCTAGAGCAATATTTCAAAATCTTAGTCTAAAATTCTAAATTCACCCAAATTGTAAGTCAGGTGTGAAACCAGACATGCAGTCTCAAAAATTTTACTCCTCAAATTTCTCAAGAAGTTCGTAAAACATGTGTGAGGGAATGATTACTGAAAGAGGAAGATTTGGATTCCAGGAAATGAATTTCCAAGCTGATGATGAAAAATTCCCAGGGAGAGAAGCTATGCAAAAAGACCTAGAAAATGAGCAATTCAGATTGGAATAGGAGGGAAGAGGACTCAAAAAAAAAAAAAAAATATATATATATATATATATATATATATGAAAAAAGACAAATTAAAACAAAGCAAAAACAAACAAAAAATCAGGACAAATAATTTGATAGGCTTTATGATGTGGAAAATTGTACAGAGGCATGTTATACACTGCAAAATGTGAAAAGGTATAGAAGTCTCAGCCAGGGATTAAAAAAAATACCTAAGCAAATTAAAAATGAATAAATTGCTTAATATAGAAAAAACATTTCAAGGCAGCACATGTAATAATATAACAATTGACTCAGCAAGTACACTGCAAGGATAAGGCTGGATGATGAATGAAAAGAGATAAAATCTTATCGTAACAGAGTCTATAAACAATAACAGATAATACCAGGGATGGCAGAATATACAACTAGATAAGTTTTTATAAGCACTTTAGGACTACTTAGCTTCTAAAATATACATCCACTTGATAAAAAGAAAAATTGATACAAAAGTTGGTATATGTCATCTTCTAAATCTGAAAATGAGTCACCCATGTTAGTGCCATCCCACTGCTGATGACTTACCAGGACATCCGGGGAGTCCTGGCACTTAAACTGGCGAAATGTTAGGAGTTCTGAGGTGCTGTTACTTCACAGTAACGGTGTGAACAAGAAAGCTCTACACGTGTCCACCGCCACTGTATCCACAATGACTAAGAGCATATCTAGCACATAGTAAATGGTCAAAACAATTTATGGAATAAATTAAAAAAAAATTTTTTTTATAGAATGGTTAAAGAATACTAGCAGACAAATATGGCTAGAAAGAGGGATCTTTGAAGGCAACTGGAAAGATTTAAGAGTAATGAGGCAGAGAGACACCACACTGTGGAGCACTCTAAATGCCAAGAAAAATGTATTTGATCTTGTGTGCAAGCAAGATATGTCAAAAAGTCTTGAGCAAAGGGATACTGTGAATAATGTAAAGTTGGAAGACTAGTCAAAGTATGGACTGGAAATGGGGGTGAAGAAAGACATGGAAACATCTGTGAAAATACATGAATGGTAGAAGCAAGGGTTGAGTTTTTCCAGGAGAGTTGGAAAAAGTTCCCCAAAAACATTAATCGTTAGTCTTTTTCACTTTAATGAAATTAACACGGTAGAATGTTCTTTGGCTGTGTAATCCAGCCACAAGCATCTATGCCTAAATTACTTAACTTGTTAGTGAACTTCTTAATGTTTCATCCTAAATTGTCTTACTATTTTGCTATTTTTTAAATGCTGAATTTAATAATGAAAAAAACACACATAAAAAAATTAATTATCAATAAATTACAATTACCAATAGGGTGTACCAATGAAAGACTTCCGTTTGGCAATGGTAGCTGTTATCTGTGCAGATACTCCAAAATCAGCTATTAAAAAAATGAGAAACATTTAGAAAAGAAAATTGAAAGAAAGTAATATTTAAGGCAATATGAGAAGAATCTTTAATTATTATTTTAATTAAACTATCTTTAATTATTTCCATTAAACTAGTTTTGCAGGAATAGGAGATATTCCCTAATACCACATTAAAAATTTTAACTTTAATGGATGAGCATTAAAATATTACAAAGTAGTCAGCATATATCATAGCCACGCAGATTCCCATATATCCCCACATGAATCAAATGACAACAGATGTCAAGATAAAATAATCTTTATGAGAGAGGGCAGAGATCATCTGAACAGGAGAATAGAAATTTACTAGTTTTGAAATAAATTTACATGACAAAATTTTAATTTACTCACCTAATTTCACATGACCATTATCCGTTAACAGAATGTTAGCTCCCTTCAAAGTGAGAACATTGTAGTTAAAGTAGGAAACATTTTATCAGACAGCACATATAATAACTGTGCTTATTAAAATAATCACAAGTGGCAGCCTTAGACCTGGAAATATTTAACATGTAGTGTACAACCAATTAAATGTTAAATTATTATATTCACAGAAAAGTTTACTATTTACTTTTTAAAAAAAATATATTTTATTGATTTTGTACAGAGAGGAAGGGAGAGAGAGAGCAAGTTAGAAACATCGACGAGAGAGAGTCATCGATCAGCTGCCTCTTGCACACCCCCTACTGGCGATGTACCCGCAACCAAGGTACATGCCCTTGACCGGAATCGAACCCGGGACCCTTCAGTCCCCAAGCCGACGCTCTATCCATTGAGCCAAACCGGTTTCGGCTACTATTTACTTTTTAAGCAATTTGCCTATGCTTATAAAATGTTCTGCCTTGCAAAAGCTGCTATTAACGTAATATGAATGTAACTATGAAAGTGATGTATTAGTTTTCATCTAAATGCTATTTTCTTACTGATCAAACACTGTCATGGTACTTAAATGTCACCTTATCCTGGCAATTTCAATTCTTTGTATTATATTTTGGACTTGATTGCTATATCCTGTTAAAAAAATAAAAACAAATCTCCAATCCATCAGTTGAACCAGTGCTGAGGTATAAGACTGAATCTTGCTGCTCAGTATGTGAGGCCGTCTATCCTTCCTATGCCTTCCGTCCAGAGTGTAGGACCGTTCAGGCTACAATTAGCCACGGGCCCACAGAATTAAAATGTCACCTATCTCCATGATTGTGAGATAACAGAATATATATATATATATATAGTCTGCGCCTCCAGTTCTTGGACAAAGCTCCGGAAACCCTTACAATTGCTTCAGTGGTAAGAGCACTAGGAGCATCCTCTGTTCCAATATCTGGTCTTTTGTCCAGTTCTTGACACAGTACACCTGAAACTTTGCACGATTTCCTGGGAGACAGGCGTGTCCTGTTCTAAGGAAGCAACTCTAGGTGAACTCCTGGACGGTTCCTGGGTGAGGGCTGGGTCTTCCTGGGAAGACCACGCCGTGATTGCAAGCCTGGGATTTTCAGCCTCACCCGCTGTCCCCTGAAGAAGGGAGCGGTGCTAAACACGGAGTGAGTGATCGGTCACGCCTGTGTGAGGAAGCCTCCGTAAGATCCCAGGAGTACAGTTTGGGGGGCTCCTGAGCTGGGGAACACGAGTAGGTGCTGAGACAGTGGTGTGCCCTGGGAAGCGCGTGGAAGTTCTGTGCCTCTTCCCAGACCCTGCCCTATGCATCCTCTCCATGCAGATATTTATCAGGATCCTTTTTGTGTTAATTCTCACCCGAGGACATTTTTTCAATTGATTTTTTTTTTTTTTTTTTGAGAGAGAGATAGTGTATGTGGTGGTAAGAGAGAGACAGAAACATCAATGTGAGACATCAATTGTTTGCTTCCTGCATGTGTCCCAACTGGGGCTGGGGATCTAACCTGTAACCCACATGCATGCACTTGACTGGGAACCGAACCCGTGACCGACACTGAGCAACACTGGCCAGGGCTATCGTAGCCTTTAATAAACTGGTAAACATTAGTTATTTCTCTGAGTTCTGTGAGCTGTTTTAGCAAATTAACAGAACCCAAGGATGGGGTCTTTGGAATCTCTGATCCGTAGCTGGTTGGTCGGAAGCACAGATAACCTGGGCTTGGGACCAGCATCTGAAGTGCGTGTGTGTGTGTGTGTGTGTGTGTGTGTGTGTGTGTGTGTGTGTCGGGAAGGGGCGGGGCGGGAGGCTCAAAGGTTTGAGGGCAAGTCTTGTGGTACTGAGCCCTTTAATCTGTGGGATCTAACTCAATCCAAATTGAGTTAGATTGTAGGGCGTCCAGCTGGTGTCACAGAGAATTGCTTGTGGTTAAAAACCCCCATGTTTGGTGACCAAAAGTGCCAGAGGGAAGTGTTGTGTGTCAGTAGTAAAGGAGACTCACAGCAGAGACACAGTAGGGAAGAACTGGGTTTTTCACTAAATGGAAAGAAAAGAAACCTGAGTGTTTTCCATTACAGTGACTTAGTAGCATTTTAGCTACTTTTGCTTCTTGACCTAAGTTCAAAGATATTAACCACTTTATTTTCAATAAGCTCAAACTTCTGAAGGAGGAAGAAATACATACTGTCTCCAAAAGGAACTGCAGGCTTTTATTTATTTATTTATTTTTGTATTTTCTGCAACTTTTAAATGAGCAAGCAAAAGTAAGTTGCCTCTTTAGTCCAGGGTGCCATCAATCATGTAATTATAACCTCATGGGGGTAAAATACTAGGAAACCCCTCCTGCCCCAAACAGAGGGGTAAATAATAGAAGACTGCACATTAATCCACAACTGTACACTTCAAAAGGGTGAATTTTATGGCAGGTGAATTGTATCTCAAAGTTGCTATAAAAAAATAAAACTTTTAAAAGCAATATTCAATTTTATTATAGTAACATATTTAGATAACAAATTCATCCAATAGAAAAATCCAGATAATTTTGGTCAACAGTTTGATCAGTGGATTTAAAAATGAAGAGAGGGACAAGTTAAACATATAACATGTATGTACCTTTATATCTCTGTGCATTTTTCCTTTACTGTGAAGATAGTATAGTCCCTGGAGTTTCAAAAAAACAAAAACAAAAATTAACAAGATTTTACTACAGAGCTCTTTGAGATTTAAAATGATCCATGGAGTAGTATTCTCCATTTTTTATTTATTCATTACAGATAGTTTTGTGGTAATTAATTTATTTTACTGATTATCTTAATAAACAAAAGAATCAAGAAAATGAAGAAGGTAAAGTTCAATTGGAACCATTCATTTTCCTAAGATAAGTAATTTTCACTAAACTCTGCAAATAGTTTGAAATAACTTAAAAAGTATCTGTGCAATTAATATCAGAATGAGTTTCAATTACCATAAGAATGCTTAATTTTCAAGCCTTTCTTTGTATTAAAAGTAATATTAAAACATAAAGTAATAAATCCACAGCACTTAAAACTTAGGAGTTCAAATTATCACACTTAGGCTTTAAAGTACTGATATGCAGATGTTACTTGGGTTTATTACAAAAACAATTAAAAATGTATTAATATTCAACAGTTTACCAAACTAGAATATTTAATCCTACTTTACTTAACAGGAATTATTTGCACAATAATTAAACATTAACTTCAATGACGAATGTTACTTTTTAATTAGCATTGGATTTACCTGTAGTGTTTCTCGGCTAACATATGCAATTTGCAATTCTGACAGAGGTCCCGTTACTGTCAGAGAAGAAAATGAACATTAGTAAAATTAGGCAAAGCATGTTTTTCAAAACTGACAATGTTTTACAAGTTCCACTAAGCTACAGGTTTAATGTTTAATAAATAACTCTAAAATGTAAGCTTAATGAGGGCAGGATTTTAAATAATCTGATTCATTCATTGTTGTATCCCATGTACAGAACTGTGCCTAGCATGAAAAAATTGTGCAATAAATGTTTATATAACGAATAAAAACCTGACATAGTGTCTGAAATTAGTTATAATTTCATACCTCACTAACCAATATTATTCCTTAAACAGTATAAGAAAGAAAGCATGGGCAAGAGGTTTAGCTAGTTTTAGAAAAAGCTTTTTAAAAACTGATATGTTACATGTATTATGGCTCATTTAAAGTCAGTATTTCCCCCCAAAATTTTTAACTTTATAGCTATAAAATTAATGTAAGTTCACTACAAAACATTTCAATCAACAGGGAAGTTTGGAAAGTATAGGCCTCTTCCTTATTCTGTTACCTATAGTTCGGCCTATAGATTACCATGCAATTTTACGCCGAGACATTTCATATAATATATGTATGCATCATACACAAAAGCATAAGTGGAGTCATATCACACATACAGTTCTGGATCCTGCCCTTTTCAATTATCATGGCCACCTTTCTGCATCAATAAATATAGCTTAATCATATGGTAATATTTGAAAAATATTTCTCCTTGTGCATCTATCCACTATGAAAGATATTTCAATAGTTTTTTCTTTTTCACTAGTCATCATTTTAGGGTAAAGAAATTCGTTGGGAGAGACTGCTGAAAATTACATTCCAACGATGGGAAATCTCTGCTAATGACTTTATGCCAAGATACAGTGAAGTGAAACAAAATCAGTATTTTATTCAAATAGGCTTTCAACATTTCCTCTATTACTATCAGCCCCTAAAATTACCTAAGCGGTCCCAAACTAGATATATGAGCTTAAGTTCTATGTATGAAAAACTGAGAAAATTTTTTTCAAACTATTTTCTTGGGAAAATTGACTTTCATCAGGAATTATTACTGACATAATTTATTTATCAAAAAGCACACCTCCAGCCGAAACCAGTTTGGCTCAGTGGATAGAGCGTCAGCCTGCGGACTGAAAGATCCCAAGTTAGAATTCCAGTCAAGGGCATGTACCTTGGTTGCGGGCACATCCCCAGTAGGGGGTGTGCAGGAGGCAGCTGATTGATGATTCTCTCTCATCGATGTTTCTAACTCTCTACCTCTCTCCTCTCTGTAAAAAATCAATAAAATATATTAAAAAAAAAAAAAAAGCACACCTCCAGCAAAAGTGTAAAAGCTACTCCACAGTTTGTCACAGTAACCCATTAATAGAACTGTTACAGAAAAAAAAACCAGACAGTAACAATTGTTTATTTTACTTTAAAAGTCTCTCTTATATATTACTTTCATTGAAATCCCAATAAAAATGTTCTAATAATTTTTAATTCCTCATTATCTAGCATCTAAGACAACAATCAATTGCTGCTTCTTGAATACATGAGAGCAAAATCGACAATCTTTTCATTAATACTATCCACTTATCAACTCGATATTCTTTTGGCTTAGTATTAGCCATCAAGGCCTTTGCATGTCTTCTGTAAGTCTGAGTTCGAAATTTCAAGAACTAATTATATATAACATTCCTTCTCTAGAATTAGCTAATAATTCAACTGCATATAATTTTTCAACTTATAAATTAGCAAATGCTCCTTTCATCCATCTAGATCTGAAGTATCTTTATGTATCCAAATACCATAATGACAAAACATACTTTGCTCAAAACATTGTTTTAATACAGCCCAGTTACTTATATTAAGGAATTCTATTTAATCTCTATAAAATATAACTTTGGTCTTACCATGATAAATATCCTGTAAAGAGCCCCCTCCACAAAACTCCATGCATATCCAAAGTTTATCTCGCCTATAAACAGAAAAAAGGCATATATCAGTTTCATGATTAAAATGATTTGTGCAACCTGATATTTTAAAGTTGTATGCTATAATCTTGAAAAACCATATAAATACAATGTGCTAAGAAAAAAAAATACCTAATTTCTATGAATATATGAATTATCCAAGATTTTAATCCTTAAAATATACCAGTTGTAGGATATAAAGATGACCCATCCAGACGAGAAAAAAAATTTCCCTTTAGTTAAAAACTTCCCTCCCCCAGTTTACCCAACTACCAGATGACAGTATTATAAAAGTTCAATGTTAATTTGAAGGTTCATACCAAAATTATGTGGAAGATTCATTACAGAATGGCAATACATCTCTAATCACCTTCACAACACTCTCACCAACAAAAGAGATAAAATGTAAACCTTATCCTTATATCTAGATTCAACAAAGATCTTTCCAAAATAATGTTAAATTTTTTCACTCACCTTTAAATAGCATTTCTCACACTTAGATTCTAAGATAGCATAATCATATAGTCATAAGAGAAATCATTTGCAAAGATTTAATAGATTATCCCTTTGTTCATTTCTCCATTATTTCATCACAAAATGTATGAAGAAATGCATTATTCTTTTTTTTAATATATATTTTATTGATTTTTTACAGAGAGGAAGAGAGAGGGATAGAGAGTTAGAAACATTGATGAGAGAGAATCATCAATCAGCTGCCTCTTGCATACCCCCTACTGGGATTTGCCCGCAACCAAGATGCATGCCCTTGACCGGAATCGAACCTGGGACCTTTCAGTCCGTAGGCTGACGCTCTATCCACTGAGCCAAATCGGTTTCGGCAAGAAATGCATTATTCTCGGGGCAGAGACGGAATAAAAAAACTCTGAACTCAGCAAGCTAAGTTTAATGCAGAAGAAAGACTCTGCCTTAATAATATGTCTGTCTCTCTCACCAATGCACTCACAAAACACGAAGACTATCTGACAAATGAATATTTGTTCCATACGTGAACAAATGAGTGGCAGAAAGAATAAACAGGTAAGAAAAAGGGTCAGCAAACTATGGCCAATAAGCCAAATCTAGCCTGCTGTCTGATTTTATACAGTCCAGGAACTAAATTTTTTTTCTTTCTTTTCTTTTTTTAATTTTTAAGTGGTTGGGAGGTTGGGGTGGGGATGGGAGGAAGAGAGGGAGGGAGAACTTTCTAAAATGTCTCCCAATTGAATTTAGGTAGGTCATTCTGTCAGAAACAGTAACAGTAAAACAAAATGTTTCATGTGGTGATTTTAATATATTTAAGCAATCAATTATTTGTCTCATGAACTTAACTATCTGAAGAGTTTTTTGTTTGTGCTAGTATAGTAACTACCTGAACTGGGTTTGTTTCATAAAATAAAAATTCATGCAGAAACTATGTCCGGTTACTATTTGAACCACTCACTATAAAGTAATTTTTAATTGCCTATTGAAGAACCCATTTAAAACGTGTAACAGTCATTGACCTGGGGAGTAGAACCAATCCCTACGTGAACTACAGTCTCCATTTACCCACCCTTTAACCTTAATGAAGGTGGGGCAGAGAGTGCTTAGACTCAAGACAAGCTGGTCCCCAGGGCTTTTCACAGCTGGAAAGAAGAGAGGACAAGAATTGCCCAATGTCTTCTACGTGCTATGCCTACATCTGAAGGGTTAAAGAATTTTGTACATGGGTTATGAGAATGGGAGCTGCAAGAACTTACATCCTTACACATCCTATAATATATCAAAACAAAACTGAATAGTTTTTTAAATACATAAGAAAAATTCTCTGATGCTCCTTTGGAAGGAACCTTATAAACCAGATCATAGTATTGAACTCAGTTGCATACAGAAATGAATGGAAAAATGAGGTCAACCCCTCTGGAATATGACCTGGAGAACCTGGCCTGGTCCTGCTAAATCAAAATAAGATGGCAGCCCTAATCGGTTTGGTTCAGTGGATAGAGTGTCGACCTGAGGACTGAAGGGTCCCAGGATTGATTCTGGTCAAGGGCATGTACCTTGGTTGCAGGAACATCCCCAGTAGGAGTGTGCAGGAGGCAGCTGATTAATATTTCTCTCTCATCGATGTTTCTAATTCTCTATCCCTCTCCCTTCCTCTCTGTAAAAAATAAATCAATAAAATATATTTCTTTAAAAATAAGGTGGCAATTTCAGTCTTTCTAAATTCATTCCAAGACCTAGAAAAATAAGAAGTCAATGAAATAATTATAGTTCCTAGTCCTTTGGACAAAATGAAGGAAACAGATGATGTAATACTCTGAGGCTAAAAGCACAAAAGAAAAAGAGTTTCTAAAAAAACATAACAGGAAGAAATGATCCTGACTTTCTAAATTCACCCAAGACTAGAAGAAAGGGGCAACAGAATGGCGTATTTAGAGCTCTATTCTATTACAGGAAGACTAACCATGAAAGTAAGTTTTTTTCTGTCAGCTTCCTCACTGAAACCACATCCAGAATTCCCAAGGCTACAACAGACAATTGCAAACTCTCATATTAGTTACAGAATTAGCATAAACATTGTAAATAAAAATTCCATTAATATAATCCTATCTTCAAAGCATGGGGGAGGGGGGGAGTACAAAACATGGACTAGAGCTAACTTTATTTTGTTAAATATATTAGGTGCTGGAATCATGATTGTTTTTCAAAAAGGAGACAATGTACCTGAGATAGCTTCCAAAATAAGCAACAATATTTGGGTGTTTACAGTCTTTCATCATAATAATTTCTTGCTGCACAACTGCAAAGTCTTCACCTACAATTAAAAACAGGCATGTTGAATATTTAATAGGTTAAATAAGTTCCAAAATGTTCACTTATTTCAAAACATTATTAATGTTATTGATAATGCATTTAATGACAATTTCAGTCTTTGTCTGACAGAAAGTAAAATACAGTGACTAAAAGCACACACTCTGGTCCCAGACTTTCTGGATTCAAATCCCAACTATGTTGTTTTGTTTGTATGTTTTTTTATTTTTTCTTTACCGAGAGGAAGAGAGAGGGATAGAGAGTTGGAAACATTGATGGGAAAGAAACATCAATCAGCCGCCTCCTGCACACTCCGCACTGGGGATGTGCCCGCAACCAAGGTACATGCCCTTGACTGGAATCGAACCCAAGACCCTTCAGTCCACAGGCCAATGCTCTATCCACTGAGCCAAACCTGTTAGGGCAATTAGGTCCTTTACTAAGCTGTGTGATTTGGACAGGTTATTTGACCTCCCTGTGCCAATTTCTTCCTCTGTAAAGTGGCGATAAAAATACCTGCCTTTGTGGGCCATCTGGTAACCCAGTATTGTTCGAGTGTAGGCCTCTTGGCCCCATGAGGAACCTGTGGAGATAAATTTGACTCTTGGTGTATGAGGGTTCCTGCCCTAACTTCAAAAAGGATTAATTCTTTGTGCTCAAATCACATTGTTATTTGGTAAAACGGAAAAAGTAATGTATATCTTCTAGTGAATTATCTGATGATTATTTCTAAGGCATAATAGTAAAAATAGCAAATGCTTACTGGTAATTCACGAACCCTAACACAGGAACCCCAATACACTCAGAGTGTCAAATGTGCCTCCACAGGCTCTTGTGGGCCAAGAGGCCTACACTCTAGCAGTACTGAGTTATCAGCTGGCCCACAAGCCCAGGCTTAGCCTGTATTCCAAAGCCTTGTTCCAACTGGGCTGCGCTGGTCAGACTATTAGCAAATAATCTCCCTTCTCTGACTCCCTCCTGCCCAAATTCTTCAAAATAAGATATGGCAATGCTATAGCCGGGTCACATGCCGTGGCTCCTGAATGAACACTTGTCATAGAGAGAAAAAGAACTGCAGGGAATGCAAATGCGGTGAGCCAGGGACCATGCGAAAAGAGAACAAACGGAGGTGCTTACAGTTAAGTTAAAGTAGCTTTGCATCCCTGTTCCAGTTTCTAAAGTATGAGATGCTGGAAGAGCCTGATTGGTTGTATATTAGGCAAAGTAAAAAACAGAAGTCTTCCAAGGTGTTACGCCCAGATTTCGTGATCCCCAAAGACCACCAGGGAGCCGAGTCCGATGCAAAAGCAAAAGTCTTTTTATTTCAGGCTAGCCCGCTCACCCCCCACATACCGACGCAGCGGCAAGGTGGAGGAAGAGAGCGGGTTTCTCCAGAACGAAAGATTTATAGGGTGGTGAGGTCACTGCTTTGACTGACCCTGATTGGTTGGGTGAGGGCTAGGGTCCAGTTACATAGTGACATAGTTATACAAAAATGGAGGATGCAGCACAAGATAGAGTCAGGAGTTAACCTTGTCCTGCCCTCTCACAAAGTATCCTTCAAATCGTATAAGTATGAGGTTGCTAGGGCAGCCCTGACATTTCCGGTCCTGGTCTTTTCCTACTGTAAACGTAACCCGGGTGTTGAAGTAGCCCAACCATGAACCACTGGACCCGATATCAATCCACCTCCCCGCCCTGTTACAAGGAAAAGAGTCACGGAGGACAAACTGTACGTCAGGTTCTTAAGCTCACAAAACCGAAGACCTCCAAAGGGAGAATAGGAAATTTTTATGCCTCCAAAATTTCAGAAGAAAAATCACTGGACTGAACTCCTCTTCTGAGTTCAATTCCCACCAGGAAGAATCCCTATATTTTCAATACATTAAAAGAAATCTAAGTTAAGAACAATAAAGCCAAAATGAGACTAATATCAAGTTTTCAGGACTATATTAATTTTTTTTTGAAAATTCTAAATTTTGCTTTCTCACCTGCCTCTTAACAATACTTTCTCCCAATTTTGTGAAAGAGTTACAGGAGATCAAAGTTGTCCTAGTCAGAGTGAACTCTAGGACTTTAGTTTGATGGTCAGATAACAGCTCTCTTCCCATGAGTAGCCCTGAGAGTTTAGCAGTCAAGGCACAACCTCAAAGGGAACCAGCTTTAGGATAAAGTTGATCTGCAGAAAACACTGAAGAGAAACAGAAAGACGGAGGAAAGCACATGATGATGTAATTGAGCTACTTCAGCAGCCTCTAGATACACCTGTACCTATCTATAAAAGCCTAAGCAACCAACCAGTCACTATGACACGCACTGACCACCAGGAGGAAGATGCTCAATGCAGGAGCTGTTCCCTCGTGGTCAGTGTGCTCCCACAGTCAACCTCCCATGGCCAGCCAACCTCCTGTGCCTGGCCAATCTCCCATGATCCCTCCCCCTGGCTGGGCCCATCAGCCTGGATCTGGGCGGCTGGCTAACCTCTCCCTGACCCCCCCAGCCAACCTCCCGCAGCCCCAAATGCCAGCCAGGCTGAGGGACCCCCAACCCGTGCATGAGTTTGTGCACTGGACCTCTGGTATAATCAAGAAATTCCCTGCATTCTTTAAGCCATCTTGAGTTGTGGTTTCTGTTACAACTGTAAGCATCACAACTTCTGGTTATCTTTGCACATATCCCTGCCCTAATGACCCAAATGTGCCTGCATGTCTCCGTCCTCACTAGAATATTAGGTCCCCTAGGACAGGATTATGCATGCCTTAATCATCTTTGTATCTCTAGCACCTAAAATGTGATTAATAAAACTGTTGCCTGAGTGAATCTACCATTCCTCATTATTCTTCTCCATGAAGACTCTAAATCAGATATGTCTGCATCTAGTTTAATTTCATCCAGTCATGTAATTAGTTGCTTATGTGCTACTCCAGCTTTCTACTGAACCCTCTGAGTGGCTTTAAGCCTTCAACTACCTCTTTCCCATTAAATGTTGTTGATCCAAAGTGCATTGTCTTTTTCCTATTAAGTCATTTCCACGTGATTACAAGAATAGCCAAATTAAATTCAACATTTTTATGGGTGGAAAGGATCCAAAGAAATAATTTGAAACTAAATTTTTAAAGTTAACCGGTAAAAGCAGATTTGGGAAGGAATAGCGAAAGCAGAGTTTAATATATTAATAACACAAAGGAGTCTAATGGTAGATTTAAAGAGCTTTCTTCAAAGCTCAAGGGAAAAGATTCCAAAGAATAAATTAACAAGCTCCCTCCCCCAACTCCAGAATACTTCATAGGATACTATAGAACAGAATGATTAGACTACATAATCTAAAAATTATTCCCAATTCTAAGATTTTTTTTTTAGACATTAAAGTGAAGAATACATCCTTACAGAAGATGGCAACCCCCCCCCCCAAAAAAAAAAAACTTAATTAAGAAAAACAGGCAAGCCTACATATAGAAAAGATAATGAATAAGCCAAGTAAACAGAGAGAAAAATATAAACTAATACATGCAAAATTCTTAAGCATGACATTATTAAGCATTCAATAAATATTAACTACGTGTAGTAGACCGAATAATGACCCCAAAAGTATCTAATTCCCAATCCCTGATACCTGTGAATGTTACTTTATGGCTAAAGGAATTTTGCAGATGTGATTAAATTAAGTATCTTGGGATGGGGGATTATCTGACTTGTGCATTTATATTCATAAAGCTAAATCACTAAACAGACCCAAAGAATTGGGAATGAGGAAGAAACTGCAGGTATACTAAAAAGTCCTTTGTTTTTTGTTTATTTTTGAGCATTATTATCTTTAAATGTGTAAATTCTAATTTATCCAGCATAGTCAGCCTCAAGCCCATAATATGGCATATATATATACGTGTATATATATATATATATTTTTAAAATTTATTTAATTTTTATGTTTTGACTCAGATATTATAGTAAAGGGTGGCTAAGCAATCTATGATTAACCTTGCAAAGTAATGATCATAAATGAGGTAACACCAATTTTCTTCGGCAATAAACACAGAACAGCACTGAGAAAACAACTGGTGGTAAGGGAGCTACTGAAGTACTCCAGGGAGACAGGAAAAGGAGCCAGATAAATCATTACCTGGTGTCTTGCCACTCGAAGATGAAAATAAAGGGGAGAGAGCTCCTCTCCTGCCTCTCAGGACACAAAAAACTAATGTGAAAAGATTTGCAAAGAAGGAAAGAAGATTTATAAAATACTAGTGGCCTGGTGCACAAAATTAGTGCATGGAGGGGGTGTTCCCTCAGCCCAGCCTGTACCCTCTCCAGTGGGACATCCCTCTTGCTATGAATTTCCTTCTGGTCAATCTCAATACATTTAAATGAAGCAGCCTTTTAGTAGGGTTCGAGCAAAGCAGAGTCTAGTCCTAAAGGATTCTACTTCAAAAGTGAAGCCAAGGTCCTCTTTCCTCAGGAACTGAAAAGTTAAGATATATGTAGGTGTTTTCATTGTTTGAAAAGGAATGAGTTTCTCTGACAAGTTGCTACTTAATCAGTTATCGGGTTTATATTCTACCTTTAAAAATATATTTTATTGATTTTTTACAGAGAGGAAGAGAGAGGGATAGAGAGAAACATTGATGAGAGAGAAACATCGATCAGCTGCCTCCTGCACACCCCCTACTGGGGATGTGACCGCAGCAAAGGTATATGCCCTTGACCGGAATCGAACCCAGGACCTTTCAGTCCGCAGGCCGACGCTCTATCCACTGAGCCAAACCGGTTTTGGCTATATTCTACCTTTAATAACTAATACTGCAAATGGGTAATAATAAGCAATCTAATTATCAAAATTTTAGGGTAAAACAATAGTAAAGAACAATGGGCCAGGAATCAGAGGAATCAGATTAAAAAAAAAAAAAAAAGATGTGAGACTTTGGGCAAATTATAAATACTGTGTCTCCTTTTCTGCAATATGAAATGTGAGTGTTAGGCTTAAGAGAATGTCCACAATAGCTCCCAGCCACCATTATTTTCTATGACAAATGTTTTGAAAGCTGTAAAACATCTGACAACCACCTAGATAAATGAGCTAAAGTTTCTTAAATCTCTACAACTCTGACTTTAAAATGTAGGAATAAGAAAAAAGAAAAAAAAAGACCGAAGAAATTTATAATATAGAGAATTATAATCCCTTGTAAGAACCTGAAAGTGAGGCCTGAGAGTACACAGATGTGAATTCTATTCTATTAGCAAGTTCTCTCCATCTTTAATTTTCCCTTAAAGTACGTCTCCCGAGTTGGCAGGGTGCTGGTCCAAACAGCTTGAAGACCACAAGATCAAATCTGTAATCTGATAAAATGAGGTTCACTGACTCAGTGCAATGAGATAGACCACACACCAGAGAAACCTCTAGCCAGCTCACAAAACAAAATTTGTAAGAGTTAAACAAGTAAGATTCCGGGAAGAGTGGGGTTTAGGTGACATTTAAGCGAAGCAGCCTTTTAGTAGGGTTAGAGCAAAAGACTACTTTAGGATAGACTGCCAAGAGTGAAGCCAAGGTCCTCTTTCCTCAGGAGCAGGAAAGTTAAGACAGGTGTAGGCGCTGTGTCCAGAAACCACTAGCTGAAGCTGTGCATCTGGGCTGTAAATCAAGAGGACCTCTCTATGTAAAAGATGACAAGGAAGAGGGGGAAGTCTGATTCTTGCTGATATAATTACACACAGCCACGTTTCTGGTAGTCTATGATTTTCTAGAACAAAGTTTCTCAGAGAGTAAGGAGCCACAGTCACTCAAAGACAGGAGTTGGTAGGACACTTGCCAGCTGCACCATTCTTGGGAGAAATGCTGTTTGTGAGACTTTATCTGTCCGTTACTCCAGACTGATACATGGCCAGGCAGCTTTTCACTCTTTCACTCTCTCCATTAGCTACTTGAGATTACTGTCTCCATTGGACTGCAGAATGTGAAGAACAGCTTGCTAATTAAACTGATTACATTATGCTCTTCATAAAGATGTTTATTTGCTGGTTTATCTTCTGGTTTGTTTATTATGCATCAATTTTGCCACAAAAGATGTCCAACTTGAGCAAATATACTGGTTTTGAAGAAATACTTAATCTTACCCCAAGAAATTCATTTAGTACTCATTAAATGTGAATAAAACTCACTTAGCTTGTTAAGTGGTGGCACTACCTCTATAAAGATTTTTCATATACTACGGCAGTTCTAGGAAACTGTGTGTGTGTGTGTGTGTATGTGTGTATAATTAAGTAAACATCAAACTAAACCTGATAATACAGTTCCCACACCGCTACCAACTTCTGAGAGTGGTGAAAGAGTAGGCTATATTGCCCGGGTTCAAATCTCCGCTTGACACTAATTAGGGCAAGAAACTGGCACATTCAGTGCTTTGTTTCCTTATTTTAAAAAAGAGAATACTGTAAGGATCAAATGGATCAACAAATGTTAAGCACTTAGAACAGAGCCTGGCACGTGGTCTTAGGTGACCCTGCTAGCGGTTCTCAACCTGTGGGTCGCGACCGCTAGCAGGGTTGCCTAAAACCATCAGAAAACACAGATATTTACATTATGATTCATAATAGCAAAATTACAGTTATGAAGTACCAACAAAAATAATTTTAAGATTGGGGGTCACCACACCATGAGGGACTGTATTAAAGGGTTGTGGCATCAGAAAGGTTGAGAACCACTGTACTAAACTGATTTGAAGGATGATGTATGTACAGACTACTTCTGATTACAGACTATTCCCCATCAAGTAACTGTTTACTAATAACTAAAAATGAAGGCCCTGATTCAAATGCCAAATTTTTAATTTTTTAAATCCAAGATTTCACCAATTTCAACTATCCCATTAAATTTCTTATAATAAACTGAAGCGTAGGGGACTCAGAGAAAAGAAAAAAAACTATTTTGTGACGTTAGAAAAAATTAGACTATATAAAATCTGTAAATAGGTATTAACTGAAAAAGCATTTTTTTATTCATTATATTTCAGTGTGGTTTGATCTATCCTTCCAATTTCATCTTACTGGCACTTCTAAAAGGTGTACTGTTAATTTAAATCAGGGGTGAGCAAAATACAGCAGCAGCAGGTGGCGTGCTTTGCTGAGAGTGTTTTTCCACTTTAACAGGGAGAGAGGCAGGAGAGAGGGAGAACTATACACAGAGACCAAGGGTGGTCCACAAAGCCTAAGCTATTTTATGACCTGGCCTTCTGACAAAAGAAGTCCTCCTCCCTTCAAAAATATTTTGAGTGGATTTCTGTTACACTGAAGCTAACACCTAGTTTACCAATAAATTCATATGATCAGTTTGTAGTGGAAGAAGCCATCAGAAAGGCAGCGTCATTGCTCTTGAACTCAATTGTGACACTAACACAATTACTTGCTGATGACAGGAAAGAGAAGGAGAAATGGGGTTTTTAAGAGTGGATAAACAATAGTGTATAGTTAGCTCAGAAAGCTATTCAGGGGTAGAATAGAGTTGAAACTGACAAAAAACATGGAGCAGTCCTAGAGACTTCACAATAAAGTTGGAAAGTAACTTCTAAGACAAAAGGTGAGAGCTAGGTCTATTGAGAAAAGTGAGACTCAAGAAGTGACATAACTTGCCCAAATTCACAGAGCAAGAGTGTGGGACACAAAGAACTGGACTACAACCCCCCAAATCTCAGCTCACCTCTTTCCACTGCCCCACTGCCCGCTCCCTGCACGACAGTTCACCGGGAGCACACCGCTGTCAATCATTGACAAGCTTGCTCAACTGAGTTCAGAAGGAACAGAGTCTCTTAGGGAGTTTCCCCTTTCCCCCAATTATTAATTATTTTTTAGGGACAGGTTGAACAAGACGTCTTCAAGTCTCTGGGAACAATAACAGAACGCTAATGAAACATCCTTAAAATAAGCCTCAAAAGACATCTGGTTGCATACAGCAATAAGAAACATCAAATTTCAATTAATTTACCTGGTTCCAACTTTATTACTTTAATTGCTGCCAATTCACCGGTGTTAACATTCCGTGCCTAAGAAAAAAAAAGAAAAGATAATTGTGGAAAAAAGCTTTCATTAAAAATTTTATAAGATGTCATTAGCTGTTTATTTTCAAGTACATGGAAATATTTTTAAAACAGTAACTCAAAGGTGATTTACATTTACAAAACAAACACTATATACTTTACAATGCATTTCATTATTAATTTAAGCATACATTTTACAATAATGATAATAATAGCTAATATACACATAAGCCTTTGTATGTGCCAGGCAGAATTCTAAGTGTTTTTACATTAATTCATTTAATCCTCAAAACAATCTTATGAAATAGGTACTACTCTTATTCCCGTGATGCATATGTGAAGACGGAAGCAAGGAGAAGTTAAGGAACTTGCCAAGGCCATGGCAGCTGGGTCCCCGACCCAGGCAGGCAGTCTGACTCCGGAGTCTAAGCTTTAAAGCATTACACTCTATTGCCATTCCTTCAGCCTGGTTAACATTTTGCATTTATTAACTATTTCTAAACTTGTTAATTTAAAACCCTTGGAATATGAAAAGCTAACATAATTATATAACCATGAAAACAGCCCCTGTGGATCTATTTAAACACGCCTGATGGCACAATCCAATCACTGCGGTTCAATACAAACCAAATGTATTTTTATAAGCCACATATTAAAACCCACTTTAAAAATTACAGACAGAAACTATCTTTCAAGTTGTATTAAATGGCAGCAATTCTTTGTCAATTGAAAATGTTCTTTAATTGCATAAGAACTTTTAAACTATGGTAACATACAATATTTGAACTATAAACAAAACTTAATAAATTAATTTTCATATCAACCAATGAAGACCAATACATGTGATTCTCTGATCACAGAAAGATCCATTCATGTGACCAGAATTATTCTGAGTTGAAGCACTCATAATTAATAAATTGGTGAAGAACAGTGGGTCACTCACAAGGGATGATAATAGCACCAACAGTGAATGCTAAGAATACTGAAGCATCAAAAATATCAGCCAAGGATATCAAAAGGCAGCTGGATATGGGACACAGCCATTGCTGAAATGTGAAATTTAACCTTTTAACTCAGAAAGCAACAAAGGTACTAAAAGATCTCCTACACAAATTAAGAAGAAAATTAAGTATTTTTTGCCTTCCTTAGGATGAGAAGATATACATACACACTCGTGCATTCACACACACACACACACACACACACACACACACACCAATAAAAAAGAAAATCAGAATATCATTCTGGAAACATTTCATAAAGGGGGCAGAGTATAACTGTAAAGTATTTAGGTATATCACATCAATGTTAATCATAAATCTTCTTAAATACAATCAAAACTACTTGCCTTTTCTTACTCTTCATTATCTTTTCTCTATTAGGCTCCTCCCTGATATTAATACATCGTCCTTCAATCAATCTTTTTTAGTACTTGTCCAAATAAAATAAGACAAGATACTACTCTCTCAAATTCTTAATTCTCGATTTAAAAATCCTGTCATGGTTTTGTTTTGTTTATGAAAGAAAATTCATAATGTGAGTTATTTCATTATGAAATAGCTGAGAAAATGTGAACCAAGCTAGGATAATTTTTATAGATGAAATTTTGTTCCCAACTGACCACAAGAGGGCATACTCTCTATTGACAACATAAGTTACAAAGTGTGTCTGTCCAAAATGGTTGCTGTACACACTACACTTTTCTAAAAATGGATTTATTAATAGTTAACACCAGCACATATTTAACAACAGAAAGAAATTATGACAGTTTATTAAAGTTAATATTTACTATAGGGCTGACTTTTGAATTTTAAAAAATCTAAATCTGTCCAGAATTTTTCTAAAGGATAACAACAGTTTTAAAATTATGGTTCTCTGGTCAATCAGAAAACAAGGCAGCTAAAATCTCTGCCTTCTGAAATGTTTTCCAATATGTAACTTATTTTACAGAAATAAGAATATTCACAAAAAGAAGGGAAGAATAATTTAAATGCTCAGAAAACAAATTTGGCCTTTTACACATCAAAATCCATATGCTTATTGGTGAAAGGTCTTTAAAGCACAAGAGTCATCAAGAATCTTGCTCTTCTGGCTAAAATAAATCATAGTTAGCTGCCTCTAAATTTACTATGGTCAAGGTGCCACACTGAGGTAAACTTCAAAATATTATCTCTAATACCCTGTAAAACTACTAGTCTTTTAAAAAATCGCCTAGAGCAATTTATTAGAAAAAAAAAATGAGCAAGATAAATCTGTAAAATATCACCAGGTGAAGAGTTAGAATTTTCTAATTCAGTGTCAATAACAAAAGTTTTCGGACTTGTTCAGGGCAGAAAGCTGAAGATAAATATTCTTAAGGACCTAGACCTCTTCTGTCCACCATTCCTCACCAAGTGATGTTCTTTTTAAAAAAATATATATTTTATTGATTTTTTACAGAGAGAAAGGGAAAGGAATAGAGTTAGAATCATCGATGAGAGAGAAGCATCGATCAGCTGCCTCCTGCACACTCCCTACTGGGTATGTGCCCACAACCAAGGTACATGCCCTTGACTGGAATCGAACCTGGGACCCTTGAGTCCACAGGCCGACACTCTAGCTACTGAGCCAAACCGTTAGGGCTCCAAGTGATGTTCTTGAGTTTAAAATGCTTCAGGCATACACACCAATGCTTTAAAGACAAACATTCAAATTCCTTGCCAGAGAATTTTAATTTTTCACTAAAGTTAACACTTTCATAAAACCGCTATGTGGACACTCGGGGCCCAGGGCAGGAAAATTCGTGCACTTGGGGAGGTAGGGTCCCTCAGCCCAGACTGCACCCTCTTGCAGTCTGGTACTGTCCACCTGCCAACTCAGGCCCGCTCTCTGGCAGTCAGACAGCCCGGGAGCCCTCAGGGGATGTCCGCCTGCAGTTTAGGCCTGCTCCTCATGAGGAGCCTGCCGAAGCCGCAGCTGGACCCTTAGAGCTGGGAGAAGCTCCCACCACCGCCGCTGCGCTCAGTACTCAGCCCGGCTTGTGGCTGAGTGGTGCTCCCCCTGTGGGAGCGCACTGATCACCAGGGGGCAGCTCCTGCATTGAGTGTCTTCCCCCTGATGGTCAGTACGCGTCATAGCAACCAGTCGTTCCACTGTTTGGTCGATTTGCATATTATCCTTTTGTTATGTAGGATAATTTACATATCATAAAGTTCACTCTTTTAATATGTACAATCTAGAGACTTTTAGTATATTCACAGTCATGTAACTATCACTACTATCTAATACTTAGAATGTTTTCATTGCCCCAGAAATCTGTACTTAAAGCTATCAAGACACTTCTGATGTTCAGCCAGATTTTGGGATCTTGTCTAAGGCACCGAGCCCTTTGAGTTTTATGAAATATAAATACCAACTTCTAAGTCTGAAAGGGGTATTACAGGGGTAGTTTTATGAAGTAGAGGTTTGAAAGATGGCCTGGATTAGAACAAACACCTGAGAGGGATGGGGAAGAGGGCATAGAAAGAAAAGCATGAGCAAGGCACAGGGACAGAAAACAGGCTATTTTGAGTATACTGGGCGGGCCAAACTTCAGGGTGTCTTTCATATAAATACTACCTTTCGGAGGGACATGGCTAACCCACAGCCGCTGCTGAAGAAATGGATTTGTTTGCTTTTCCATCGTTCCGTGGACCAGGTAAGCCTAACACCAGGGCAATCAATCCACAGGAAGACTGATAGCCAGGGGGACATATACCCCTGGTTTGGCCAAGACTGTCCCAGTTTATGTCTATTAATAGTGGCCACTTTCACTCTCAAATTTACAATTGAAATTTTATTTATTATGGTACCGTATTTTCCGTCGTATAAGACGACCCCCCAATTTTACAGTTAAAGCATAGGTTTAGGCCTATATTCGCTGTATAAGACTACCCCCCACTTCAAAGAAAAGACTTAGTTTGCCGTCAAGATCTGCAGGTAATTTTTGTGCAATTTTAGTCTTTTGCCCCCGATTTTCGGTTGACTTTTTTTCGTTTCAAAAGTCGTCTTCTACGCCGGAAAATACGGTACATTATAAAGAAACTCTGAGCTGAGTGAAAAGAAGACACAGGCCTATCAAATCTCAAACACAGGGATCGGCAGGCATGACTGTTTCTACCAGTGCGGGTTTTATTGGAATGCAGCCGCGTCCATTTAAGGATGAGGGCCATGGCTGCTTTTACAATACAAAGGTGGAACTGAATAGCTGAGAGAGAGCAAATGGCCCACAAAATCCGAAGTATTTACTCTCTAGCCCTTTAACCGGGAAAACAGAACCCTGCTGTAAAGCTGCACAGTCCAGTAAAACTTTGTTTTAAAAAAACTTGCTGAGATTCTGACTGGAATTGCATTAAGTCAGTAGATACAATTTGGGGAGAACTGACATCTTTGCTCATAGAGCCTTCAAGCAAAGTAATACTTTCTATTCAGATTTTCTTTTCAATGAAAGATTTCATTGGGGTTTCACAATTACCAGCATACAGATCCTATACATTATTTTATTCCTGACATAGTCATGTGTGGCTGGTGAACAATTGCATTAGACATAAAGGTTCAAAAAGCCTGAACTTGGAAAGTCTGGGATGTAACCCAATGAGAAAATGATGTCCTAAAACTGTGCCAGTGCCTCAGCTAGCAGGACCTTGGGCAAAGTGAAGTTTTGAAGAACCAGGAAAGGAAAGATACGATTGAGAAGGCAGTCAATGAGAGCAGAGAACACAACACACGCAGAGAGAACAACAGAGACCCGAGGAAGGGGCAGATTTCCAAAGCTGCCCTGAGGTCCTGACAACTTTCCAGTCTCACCGCACACGTGTCTCTCACAATAGTCTCTCTTTTCTTGAGTTAACTTGAATGGCTCTTTGTTTCTTAAAACCAGATGACCAATGATCTAAATTTCTAGGACTATATCACGCTAATTTTGAAAATAAAAACAGATTGAGACTAATCATCCTAACTATAAAAAAAAATGTACTTAGGTAATGATT